CTCCTCTATTAGAGCGCCCCCACCCTGGAGGAAGGAGCAACAGAGACACAATTGGACATCAGCATTGTCAGTCTGGGGGGAGGGGAGTGTTAGATGTACTAGCAGATTTAAATATACTAACAAACTGAAGTCAAACTCCAGCTCACACTTTATTATCAGTTACAGCAAAGAGTTTTGTTCCTTTTTGGATAATGGTTTTACCTAAATAAATAACAGCTGATCACTGCCAGTATTTACCATTTGTCTCATCCCTGTAACTGACACATTTTTTTGGTAGAAAGAGCTTTCGGTTCCTTTTACACGAGTGTTCCATATGTACGTTTTTCATCTGTTCGTTTACAGATGAAAAAACGGACACCCATGTATTTCTATGGACTAGCGGATGTAAACAGACGATCATCTGTTTGCATCCGTTAACATCTTATTTTTCTTCCATTAAAAAAAAAACCACGGAATGGACAAAAAACGGATGTAAACGGACATACGGTCTATTTTTGCATTGGTAAAGAATGTTAAAAACATATTAGACACTGATAAAAAACTGATGTAAACTGATTCGTTTTTTCTTTGAAAAAACGTGACTGAATTGATAAAAAACCCGGAACACCCATGTGAAAGGACCCTTACTGAAAAAGTATTGGAACACACACAGGATAAATGTTGGGTATAACATTGATCAGAGAACTGAATATGGAAGAGAACGGGATCAAAACGTTTACCCACACAGGGGTATGAAAACAGCTGAGGTGTACAACATGGTTGAGAAATTATATAAGTGATACATATTTCAAGAGAGTATGTTCTGTTGAAAAACAACAGACTTACTGGCCAGATCAGCAGGAATAGAAGAAATACAAAAAAAGATAACTAATGCAGCCAGAATTGGTAAGCGTTTATTGGTAATAAATGTTTGTTTTTGGGTTTCATACTGCTTTAATATTGGGGTAAAAGGGGTGAGAGGTACAAATGACGAGGAGGATATGAAGAATAAATGAGAGGGGGAAGGAGGTTCAAAGGAAATACTGTGAGGGTGTATGAGGAATAAAGGGAAAAATAAGAGGGTACAGAGGAGTGAGGGGGATACATATGAAGGTGTGAGGAGTAAATATGGGGACACAGTAAGTGAGGAGCAGGTACATGTGGGGTGCACAGGGTGGGAAAGGTATATACAATATGAGAGTACTGGGGGGAGGGGGTTGTGGGGCTAAGAAGGGAATACGTAGGAGAATAGAGATTATTAGGGGTATATATGAAGGTACAGGTGGACTGAAAAGGGGGTATGTGGGCGTACAGGGAGTGTAAATGCTAAATATTGGAGTACTTGGATGAGAAGTGAAAATATTAGGGTACAAGGAGCGATAAGGGTATATGTAGGGGGTACAGAGGGTGAGAAGGGAGTATACTGGGATAAATGGAGAGATGAGTATTTTTAGGGGTACAAAGGGCAAGAATGGGGCATACTGGGGTACAGGGAATGATAAACGTATTATGTGGGGGCACGGATGGTGAGAAGGGAGTATAGGGAGTGATAAGGGTATATGTGGGATGCACAGGGGTGAGAAGGGAGAATATTGTGGTATAGGGAGTGATAAGGGTATATGTGGGGGGCACAGAGGGTGAGAAGGAAGTATATTGGGGTACAGGGGTTGATAAGGGTATATGTGGGATGCACATGGGGTGAGAAGGGAGTATATTGGGGTATAGGGAGGGATAAGGGTATATGTGGGGGGCACAGAGGGTGAGAAGGAAGTATATTGGGGTACAGGGGTTGATAAGGGTATATGTGGGATGCACATGGGGTGAGAAGGGAGTATATTGGGGTATAGGGAGGGATAAGGGTATATGTGGGATGCACAGGGGGTGAGAAGGGAGTATATTGGGGTATAGGGAGTGATAAGGGAATATGTGGGGTCACAGGGGGTGAGAAGGGAGTATATTGTGATATAGGGAGTGATAAGGGTATATGTAGGGAGCACAGAGGGTGAGAAGGAAGTATATTGCAGTACAGGGGTTGATAAGGGTATATGTGGGATGCACAGGGGGTGAGAAGGGAGTATATTGTGCTATAGGGAGTGATAAGGGTATATGTGGGGGCACAGGGGGTGAGAAGGGGGTATATTGGGGTATAGGGAGTGATAAGGGTATATGTGGGGGCACAGGGGTGAGAAGGGAGTATATTGTGGTATAGGGAGTGATAAGGGTATATGTAGGGGGCACAGAGGGTGAGAAGGAAGTATATTGGGATACAGGAGTTGATAAGGGTATATGTGGGGGCACAGGGGGTGAGAAGGGGGTATATGAGGGGCACAGGGGGGGTGAGGAGTATATTAGGGCACAGGGGGTGAGAAGGGTATATGTGGGGGACACAGGGGGGTGAGAAGGGTATATGTGGGGGACACAGGGGGTGAGAAGGGTATATGTGGGGTGCACAGGGGGTGAGAAGGGAGTATATTGGGCTACAGGGAGTGATAAGGGTATATGTGGGGACACAGAGGGTGAGAAGGGAGTATATTAGGGTACGGGGGTTGATAAGGGTATATGTGGGGGGCACAGAGGGTGAGAAGGGAGTATATTAGGGTACGGGGGTTGATAAGGGTATATGTGGGGGCACAAGGAGTCAGAAAGAAGTATACTGGGGTACAGGGAGTGATAAGCGTATGTGTGGAGGTATAGAAGGTGAAAAGGAAGCATATTGGGGTAAAAGGGGTGATAAGGATATCACGGGAGGATGAGAAGGGAGTATATCAGGGTACGGAGGGGGGGGGGGTTGATAAGGGTATACTTTGGGATACAGGTGCAGACAACGGTATATTTTGGGGTACAGATGGTGGGAGCAGAATATATTCGGGTGCAGGGAGTGATGAGGGTATAAATGGAGGATGAGAAGGGAGTATATCATGGTACAGGGGGTGAGTATATTGGGGTAGAGGGCAATAAGGGTATATGTTGGGGTATAGAGGGGCGAAAAGGATGTATATTAGGGTACAGGAGGTGATAAAGGTATATGTAGGGGTACAGGGGGTGAGAAGGGAGTATATTGGGGTTCAGAGGGTGAAGGAGTATATTGGGGTACAGGGATTATAAAGGTATATGAAGGGGTACAGGGGAAGAAGAAAGTATATTAGGGTACATTGTGTGATAAAGGCATATGTAAGGGTACAGTGCTGAGAAGGGAGTATATTGGGGTACAGGGGGTGATAAGGATATATGGTGGGGTATTGAGGGCAAAAGCAGCGTATATTGGGGTACAGAGAGTAATAAGGGTAAATGTGGGGGTACAGAGAGTGAAATGAAATTATACTGGGGTACAGGGGTTGACAACAAGAGTATGTTTTGGGGGGTACAGGGGGTGATGAGTATATATAGGGGGTGATAAGGGTATAAATGGAGGATGCGAAGGGAGTATATCAGGGTACAGAGGGGTGAGAAGGGGTATATTGGGGTACAGGGGACAAATATGAGATTGGGGGGGAGACGAGGGTGGCGCATATAGAGGTATGGGGGGGTCAAAGGTGATAATATCGCCGTGGCTCCAGGTGATATCGCCCGTACGTGCCCTCACACCCCCGCCATGCTGTCACAGCAGCTGTCACCCTCGACTCGTTATTACAGTTCCGGTTGTGACTCCCTCTCCTCACCCTGGTCTTCCTCCCGCCGTCCTCCGGTTAGGCCCCGCTGAATCCCCGTTCTCTCCCGGCACTCTCGCTGGGCGCCGGCTCCTGGTTGCCATGGTGACAGCTCACTGGAGCCCGGGGATGCACGTGGAGCTCGTAGATTGGCCGGGCCCGGGAAGACAAGCCTGAGCAATCGAGCCCGGAGGAGCTGCAGACACGATGAATGGGTGAGAGGTGGCTGAGGGTCCTGACTGCTTGCCCATCTATACTGACTTCCTGACCCTATACACCCCTTGGAGTAGTCATAGGAGTATCAGGGGTATAACCTGGAATAACCCCCCCCCTTCCCCCAGGGCAATCATAGGGGTACAGACGTAACATAGGATCATCTACTTCCTGGGGTGCAAATCTAGCATGGGATAATCTCCCCCTGGGGTGTCATAGGGGTCCATACATAACATAGGATAATCTACCCCCAGGGGTAATCATAGGGGTATTGGGGTGCAGACATACCATGAAAAGTATTATTTTTGCTATATTTGAATCTAATCTGAACTCCTTTTTCCTTTTCGCATGTTAATCCTGCACGAGTGTCGGACATTTCCAGCTTTTATTTCCTGATGATAAAAAGATGTCTCGGAGCTACACGTCCCGGCCATTTATTACAGATAATAATAGATCATTATCTACCACACCCTATACTATAGCTCAATACTTTACACCGACGTATGGCATCATTCCAAAAAGAACGTCATATTATCATTAAAGTAGAACTCCAGGCAAAACTTTGTTTCCATTTTGGATAGAGTGAGGGAGGGTTAGAAACCCTGTAAGATGTTTTTATTGCCATCCGTGTCCCATCGCAGAGATTTCCCTTCACTTCCTGTCCCATAGCCAAAACAGGAAGTCCCTGCAAATTAAGGGACTTCCTTGGGGACCCCCCAGGTCACCAGAAATAGTGTCCCCATTGGAAGATTTCCCCTCTGTTACTTCATTTGAATGGACTCCTGTGCTCCCGGAACACGCAGGAACCTGCACTTCTTTGGAAATCGCAGTCGTCACGGGAACCAAGGTTCCCAGTACGGTTGTGATTTCCAGTGCGGGCAGCGTGCCATTATAATTAATGGCTCCCGTCCACTGTACCCGCATTCCTCTGTGTGGGTGGTGCAGTTGCAGGTATTTGTGGGGGTCCCACATTCCTCTGTGCAGGTGGTACTGCTGCACATATTTGTGTAGGTCCCGCATTCCTCTTTGGGGGTGGTGCAGCTGCAGGTACCTCTGCAGGTCCTGCGTTCCTCTGTGTGGGTGGTGCAGCTGCAGGTATCCGTGTGGGTCCTGCGGTCCTCTGTGCAGGTGGTGCAGCTACAGGTATTTGTGCAGGTCCCGCATTCCTCTGTGTGGGTGGTCTGGCTGCAGGTATTTGTGCGGGTCCTCCATTCCGCTGTGTGGGTGGTGCAGCTGCAGGTATCTGTGCGGGTCCCACGTTCCTCTGTGTGGGTGGCACAGCTGCAGGTATTTGTGGGGGTCCCACGTTCCTCTGTGCGGGTGGTGCAGCTGCAGGTATTTTTGCGGGTCCCGCATTCCTCTGTGCAGGTGGTGCAGCTGCAGGTATCTCTGCGGGTCCTGCATTCTTCTGTGTGGGTGGTGTGGCTGCAGGTATTTGTGGGGGTCCCTCTTTCCTCTGTGGGGGTGGTGCGTCTGCAGGTATTTGTGGGGGTCCCACATTCCTCTCTGTGGGTGGTACATCTGCAGGTATTTGTGGGGGTCCCGCATTCCTCTGTGTGGGTGGTGCGGCTGCAGGTATTTGTGTGGGGGGTCCCACGTTCCTCTGTGTGGGTGGTGCGGCTGCAGGTATCTGTGCGGGTCCCCCATTCCTCTGTGTGGGTGGTGCGGCTGCAGGTATCTGTGAGGGTCCCACGTTCCTCTGTGCGGGTGGTGCAGCTGCAGGTATCTGTGCGGGTCCCTGGTTCCTCTGTGCGGGTGGTGCAGCTGCAGGTATTTGTGTGGGTCCTGCATTCCTCTGTGTGGGTGGTGCAGCTGCAGGTATCTGTGAGGGTCCCACATTCCTCTGTGTGGATGGTGCAGCTGCAGGTATCTGTGCAGGTCCCCTATTCCCCTGTGTGGGAGGTACATCTGCAGGTATTTGTGGGGGTCCCGCATTCCTCTGTGTGGGTGGTGCGGCTGCAGGTATTTGTGGGGGTCCCATGTTCCTCTGTGTGGATGGTGCAGCTGCAGGAATTTGTGGGGGTCCCGCATTTCTCTGTGTGGGTGGTACATCTGCAGGTATTTGTGGGGGTCCCCCATTCCTCTGTGTGGGTGGTGCAGCTGCAGGTATCTGTGCCGATCCCGAATTCCTTTGGCAATAAAACCTGGATGCTGATTGGTTACTATGCAGAGTTGCACCAGATTCTGTGTGCTCCAGTTTTAGTAAATCTCCCCCTATGTATATACTGTACCTGTGGGATCCCTCTAGGACCGGGGTCTCCAAACTACAGCCGGGGGGCCGGATGCTACCCTTTGCTTGATTTTATCCGGCCCTTGAAACATTATCCCCCCCCCCATGTCAGCAACAGTGGGGCATAGTTCCTGCCACTGACCCCCACAATGGAGCACTATTCCTCCATACTGACACCAGTGATGGGGCATTGTTCCTCCCATTGACACCAACCATGGGGTGCTAGTCCTTCCACTGACACCAATGATGGGGCACTATTCCTCCCACTGACACCAATGATGGTGCACTATTCCTCCCACTGACACCAACAATGGGGTGCTAGCCCTCCCACTGACACCAATGATGGGGAACTATTCCTCCCACTGACACCAACAATGGCACTATTCCTCCCACTGACACCAATGATGGGGAACTATCCTCCCACTGAGACCAATGATGAGGCACTATTCCTCCCACTGAGACCAATGATGGGGCACTATTCCTCCCACTGACACCAACAATGGCACTATTCCTCCCACTGACACCAATGATGGGGCACTATTCCTCCCACTGACACCAATGATGGGGCACTATTCCTCCCACTGAGACCAATGATGGGGCACTATTCCTCCCACTGACACCAACAATGGCACTATTCCTCCCACTGACACCAACGATGGGGCACTATTCCTCCCACTGACACCAATGATGGGGCACTATTCCTCCCCACTGACACCAATGATGGGGCACTATTCCTCCAACTGACACCAATGATGGGGCACTATTCCTCCCACTGACACCAATGATGGGGCACTATTCCTCCCACTGACACCAATGATGGAGCACTATTCCTCCCACTGAGACCAATGATGGGGCACTATTCCTCCCACTGAGACCAATGATGGGGCACTATTCCTCCCACTGACACCAACAATGGCACTATTTCTCCCACTGACACCAATGATGGGGCACTATTCCTCCCACTGACACCAATGATGGGGCACTATTGCTTCCACTGACACTGATGATAGGGCATTGTTTACTGCCACTGACACCAGGACATTTTCCACTCCGGCTGGTCAAAGTCCGACCCCACCCTAAAGTTTAAAGGACAGTAAACTGGTTCTTTGTTTAGAAAGTTTGGAGCCCCCTGGACTAGAAGCTACCACCACTACTACAACCCTACTCCAGTGATCTCGGCTGGCTCCCGAGTCCTGTGCCGAGCGTCTGCTACATGGTGAACACAGGAGGTCGGCCACTTGGCCCAGGCACCATTCAGAGAGTGCTTCACATTTTCTCAATGGATGAAAAGCATTCTCTGATTGAACGAGGTGGAGAGACAGCACAGTGACATCACACTTTCCACCTCATCCAATAGAGGAACACTTTATACGCATTGAGAAAATGCAGAATTATCTCTGCATGGTACCTGTGCGGTCGACCTCCTGTGTTCACAACGCAGCAGGGCAGCCGCCTGGACCAGGAAGTTGGTGGAGATCACTGTAGTAGCTGTGTAGTAGCAGTGTCCATACAGTGATTTCCAGCTTCTAGAGGGATCCCACATGTATGGTATATACATAATTACATTGGTCCAAGCTGGAACAATGTACCTATGTAGAAATATCCTGGAGTCCAGCTTTAAAGTGTTACTAAACCCACAACAGTACAATCAGTCTGTATATGCCAGGGGTAGGCAACCTGTGAGCCGCAGGACTACAAGTTCCATCATGCCTCTGCAAGTCATAGCTGTAACTGTCAGTTTTGTAATCTTTGCAATGCCTCATGGGAAATGTAGTTCCACAACAGCTAGAGAGCCGCAGGTTGCCTACCCCTGTTCTGGAGGGACCCCTCAGGTATGGTATATACATAATTACATTGGTCCAAGCTGGAACAATGTATCTATGTAGAAATATCCTGGAATCCAGCTTTAAAGTGTTACTAAAACCACAACAGTACAATCAGTCTGTATATGCAGTAACGCGTGCTTGTTATACTCACTGTGGAACCTAAGCGGTTAATCCTCTGCATTGTGTAAAAACACTGTTTGATCCTGTCTTCTCTGATCCTCCCCTTCTTCCAGTGTCCCTCTCTTATCTCCTGATAAGACCATTGTGTGGAGTTACTCTGCACATGCTCAGTTTGGTGTGTACTGCTAGAAAGGTTTTTTGTTTTTTTTTCTTGGGAGGGTGCATGTGATCAGCACAGGGCCAATCAGCACTGTTCAGACAGATGTCAGGGGCTCTGCATCCTCCTAGAGCAGAATGGGGATTCCTACAAGCCTTAACCAGTGCTCTGCTGGACACTGATACAAGTCACATGACTGCTCTAACTGCTGAGAAAAGATATTTAGCAGTTTATATTTACAAAAATAATTGCATTTCCATGTTGTGTGAATATAGTGAATGCGGGGTCCGGGGAGAGCGGATATAGTGAATGCGGGGTCTGGGGAGACCAGATATAGTGAATGCGGGGTCTGGGGAGACCAGATATAGTGAATGCGGGGTCTGGGGAGACCAGATATAGTGAATGCGGGGTCCGGGGGAGACCAGATATAGTGAATGCGGGGTCCGGGAGACCGGATGGATATAGTGAATGCGGGGGTCTGGGGAGAGACCGGATATAGTGAATGCTGGGTCCGGGGAGAGCGGATATAGTGAATGCGGGGTCCGGGGAGAGCGGATATAGTGAATGCGGGGTCCGGGGAGAGCGAGCGAATATAGTGAATGCAGGGTCCGGGGAGACCGGATATAGTGAATGCGGGGTCCGGGGAGAGGGGATATAGTGAATGCGGGGTCCGGGAGAGCGGATATAGTGAATGCGGGGTCCGGGGAGACCAGATATATAGTGAATGCGGGGAGGGGACCGGATATAGTGAATGCGGGGTCCGGGGAGAGGGGATATAGTGAATGCGGGGTTCGGGGAGAGGGGATATAGTGAATGCGGGGTCCGGGGGGAGAGCGGATATAGTGAATTGTGGGGTCCGGGGAGAGCGGATATAGTGAATGCGTGTCCGGGGAGAGCGGATATAGTGAATGCGGGGGTCCGGGGAGAGCGGATATAGTGAATGCGGGGTCTGGGAGAGCGGATATAGTGAATGCGGGGTCTGGGGAGAGAGGATATAGTGAATGCGGGGTCTGGGAGAGAGAGGATATAGTGAATGCAGGGTCCGGGGGAGATGGGATATAGTGAATGCAGGGTACCGGGGAGAGCGGATATAGTGAATGCAGGGTACCTGGGGAGAGCGGATATAGATGAATGCAGGTCTCCGGGGAGAGAGGATATAGTGAATGCAGGGTCCGGGGAGACCGGATATAGTGAATGCAGGGTCCGGGTAGGAGAGGATATAGTGAATGCAGGGTCTGGGGAGAGCGGATATAGTGAATGCAGGGTCCGGGGAGAGAGATATAGTGAATGCAGGGTCTGGGGAGAGCGGATATAGTGAATGCAGGGTCCAAGATTTAGTAACACTTTAATCGTTCCCTACTCCATCCAAAACTAGAAACAAAAATAGATTAAAATTCACTTTTTATACCTGTTAAAAAAAAAATCACTTTAATCTCCATGTAGTGACTGTTTTGCTATTGTGCAGGGGGCAGACGTCGGAGGATGACGGGGGGGCTAAGCCCGGAAAGAGTCTCTTTTAATAGAACCCTGGTTCACCTGGATCTGAAAGGAGCTCCGCCGAAGGTGTCCTACCTTGCAGAGGTAAACATTGGCAGCATCATGTGTTCTGCGTTTTTATTACAGCTCGACGTGGCGCCTGACAAACCAGATTTGCGAGATTCGGCTCAAGAGTTGGAATATTTTCTGCTTACTGGCTTGCCAGCAGTTCTCAGTCTGCCGTGGCTGAAGGATTGTTTTTAGGACAGAAAGCAAAATGAACAAAGCAGGTCGGTTACATCTTTTACATCGTAGAGCTGAACTCCAGGTAGAAAAAAAAAAAACACAAATATTATGGCAGGAGACGGGGGCGCGCCCCGAGTCACAGAGTCTAATGCAGGCCATAGACGGGTCGAAAACTGGCCAATTTTTGCACCATTAGTGGGTTAATTGGTTGGCCGTTTTTTGGGTTTTGGCACTTTTTTTTATCAGTAAAGTTGGAAAATTTGCGGACCCTGATTTTGACGATCGGCCAATTTTCCCGGCAATGATGGACAAATCTGCCGATCATTTTACCGATAAAAAATCTGCACATGAGCTGTGACCTGCAAGAAGAACAAAAAAAGAAGAAAAATTAAGGTCCACTGTTATTTTTTATGTGAAAAGTCTTGTGGTTGTAACAATGTATCTATTTGTATCCAAATAAAACCATCTGTATCCAAAATGGATACAAATAGATGCAATGTTGCAACCTCAAGACTTTTTCATGTAAAATATAACAGCGGACCTCTCTACAAGGGACAGAAGTAAAAATGCCGGCCGTAGACGGGACGAAAATCGGCCTATTATTTTTTTTCATTGTTGGTAACGTCAGCCGATTTGAACGAGACCAATTTTTCGTTTTTGTTTTTTTTAAAAAATGGCTGATTTTCGACCTGTTTATGGCCTGCATTATTTCACACGGGTAGGTGGTTACCCACCCAACCGCAGAAATTCAGGCACTCAGGGCTGTAACCATGCGGTGGGTTCAAAGCTTCGCTGCAGAAATAAATGGCATCTCGCATTTGGTAGGTGGTATTACTGGTGAACACAACCCATTCAGGCGCATGGTGCAATCACATTCAATTTACACGATTGTGGCGCAGCTAATTGGCATTTTGATGGTTTATATGAGGCGACATATTGCCCGCTCTTCGCCTTTCAAACGCCCTATAGCTCCACCATACATGCAGTATAGCTGCACATAAGAATGAGCCCTAAGTTGGTCTTCACCAGAGTACCATACAAAGGGCGGTGGGCCAGAAACCCTAATGGTTCTTGGTTTTCTCTGCTGCAAACTGGTAGTGGGTCACGGCCCTCAGGATCACCCAGCCAAGGGGTTACTGGACAAAAGGGCTAGGTTGTGGAGACTGTTCACAAGATTTATTTATTTATTTATTTATCGAGTTTATATATAGCGCCAAAGGGTTTGCTCAGCGCTCTACAATAGAGGGGGGACAATACATGAAACAGAACAGTAGCATCAAACAGTACACAAGGGGTAAGAGGGCCCTGCTCTTTCGAGCTTACAATCTAGGAGGGAGGGGGTAGAGGCACAGGAGGAAACGGCTGTGGGGGATGGAGTGGTAGGAGGAGGGAAGGGCAGCGGCTGTTAGGTGAGGGTGGGGTAGGCTTCCCTGAAGAGGTGGGTTTTCAGGGAGCGCCTGAAGGTGAGGAGGGAAGGTGACAGTCTGATGGATTGGGGTAGTGAGTTCCAGAGGATGGGGGAGGACCTGGAGAAGTCTTGCAGTCGTGCGTGGGAGGAGGAGACCAGGGAGCAAGATAGAAGGAGGTCCTGTTAAGAGCGAAGGGTACGGTAGGGTGGTACCTGGGAATCAGGTCGGTGAGGTAGTTAGGGGCAGTGTTGTGAATGGCCTTATAGGTCAGGGTGAGCAATTTGAATTTAATGCGTTGGGCAATGGGGAGCCAGTGGAGGGAGAGGCAGAGGGGGGTGGCAGAGGTGGAGCGGCTGGTGAGGTGGATGAGTCTGGCCGCTGAGTTCAGGATGGTCTGAAGCGGGGGAGAGAGCCTGCACTGGGCTAGGCCGGTGAGGAGGGAGTTGCAGTAGTCCAGGCGTGAGATAATCAGGGAGTGTACTAGTAGTTTAGTGGTGTCTGGAGTAAGAAAGGAGCGTATCTTGGAGATGTTCCGGAGGTGGAGCCTGCATGTGTGTTTGTGAGTGATTTGATATGAGGTTGAAAGGAAAGGTTTGAGTCCAGAATGACTCCAAGGACCTTGGCTTGCTGGGCGGGATTGATGGTGGTGTTGTTGGTAGTGATGGAAAGGGGGGGGGGGGGGGGTGGCGGGGGAAGGGGAAGATGAGAAGCTCGGTTTTGGAGAGGTTGAGTTTGAGGAAATGGAGCGACATCCAGTCAGAGATGTCGTTTAGGAGGTGAGTGATGCGGGCGGAGAATGTGTGGGGGTGAGGTGAGGGGTGGATAGGTAGATTTGAGTATCATCAGCATAGAGGTGGTAATTGAAGCCGTGGGAGTGTATGAGTTTGCCAAGGGAGGAGGTGTAGATGGAGAAGAGAAGGGGTCCAAGGACAGAGCCCTGGGGGACCCCAACAGAGAGGGGGAGTGAGGAGGAGGAGGTGGCACCGTTGTAGGAAACGCTGAAGGAGCGTTGGGATAGATAGGGACGAGAAAGGACGAGAACCAGGAGAGAGCGGTGACAAGATGTCAGGCAAGAGAGTAGTCTGGTGCAAGCAGGGGTTGAGGCAGGCAGCAGATGAGAGGGTAGTTCGGTAAAAGCAGGGGTCAAGGCAGGCAAGAGGGCAGTCAGGTACAAGCAGGGGTTTCGGCAGGCAGCAGACAAAAAAGTATAGCGGTACAAGCAGGGATCAAGGCAGGCATCAGACAAGAGGGTAGTCAGGTACAAGCAGGGATTGAAGCAGGCAGCAGTTAAGAAGGTAGTCAGGTATACGTAGGGGTCAAGGCAGGCAGCAGACAAGAGGGTAGTCAGGTATAAGTAGGGTGTCAAGGCAGGCAGCAGACAATAGGGTAGTCAGGTACAAGCAGGGGTTGAGGCAGGCAGCAGAAAAAATAGTAGTCAGCAGCAAGCAGAGGACAAGGCAGGCAGAAGACAATTGGGTAGTCGGGTACAAGCAGGGGTCAAGGCAGGCAGCAGACAAGAGGGTAGTCAAGTGCAAGCAGGGGTCAAGGCAAGCAGAAGACAATAGGGTAGTCAGGTGCAAGCAGGGGTCAAGAGTCAAGAGAAGCAGACAAGAGGGTAGTCAGGTATAAGCAAGGGTTGAGGCAGGCAGCAGACAAGAGAGTAGTGAGATGCAAGCAGGGGTCAAGGCAGGCACAGACGAAAGGGTAGTCAGGTACAAGCAGGGGTAGAGGCAAGCAGAATACAATAGGGTAGTCAGGTACAAGCAGGGGTCGAGACAGGCGGCAGACAAGAGAGTAGTCGGGTACAAGCAGAGGTCAAGGCAGGCAGCAGACAAGAAGGTAGTCAGGTACAAGCAGGGGTTGAGGCAGGCAGCAGATAAGAGAGTAGTGAGGTGCAAGCAGTAGTCGAGGCAAGCGGCAGACAAAAGGGTAGTCAGGTACAAGCAGGGGTCAAAGCAGGCAGCAGACAAGAGGGTAGTCAGGTACAAGCAGGGGTTGAGGCAGGCAGCAGACAAGAGAGTAGTCAGGTACATGCAGGGGTCGAGACAGCAGCAGGTAAGTGATGAATCAAGTCAGAAATCCGTGTCAGCAATGGCAGGTTCAGTTTTTTAGCAGTCTAGTTCTAGGGGTAGCTGGCAAAAGACACAGCAGCAGGCACTTCAAATGCTGGTGCTAAAATACCTTCCTAATCAGAGAACACAGCCCAGCATTGTCAACACCTGCCTGAACTGGTGTCCTGGAAATCCTATCCTGGAAATCCTAGAGGTCCTGGAAATCCTAGAGGTCCTGGAAATCCTGGAGGTCCTGGGCATTCTATAAGTATTGTAAGTGTAAGCACTGTAACAGTGCAGCTCTCTAATCATTAATACATCATTAAACATATTTTTTCTAAATACAATGTAAGTACCAGAACTTGCCCTGGTATTAGCCTCTTGCAATCCCTGCAGTGCAGAGCTCAGACTAAAGAAGGAAGAATCAGCACAAGTAGCACGCTGATAGGAGGAGAGGGCAGAGAGAGATGAGCTCATCACTGTGCTGAGGCGACCAGGCCAGGACGACCTGGCTAAGAGGAAGTGTGTTAAATGATGCTCACCAACAGACTGCAGAGAGCAGCAGAAAAACATAGTGCCAGGAAAATCTCTGGACTGAAGGTGAATATTACAGCAAAAGCTGTTTTTTTTTGTACTTTATACTTTAATAGGCTATTCATGTTTATCTTGTTATTTTGGGCTGGAGTTCTGCTTTAAAGAATAGGGGTGTAAGGAGCCGTATCCTCTTGTAATATCAGAAACTAAAGTCTAACTCATGCTGCTCAATAGCTTTTGCTAGGCAGTACTCCACGGTGCATCCTAAGTGGAATCCCACGGTTAATAAAGAAAAGAGAGCATTTTTTTTTTTTTAAGTCCGCAAACGTGCAAACTACAACGAAAAACCCGTAAGTGATCACAAAAAAAGTGCAAGTGCGAACACCATACGAAAAAGTGCACTTAGGGGTGTGTTTGTCCTACCCCCGAAGGGGTTGAACCGTTACCCTGATCCCCCGGGGCACGAAGCTCCTGACAGGGACAAGGTTCCCATTTCGTCCTCCTGGCCAAAAGGCCTGGTGGACCACCGTTCCTTATGCCCAGCCGAAGCCGGACATCCAGTACTAGGTCAGGGGGTTCCCCCGAAGAGAAAACCCCCTAGGGATCAGGGGAGGAAGGAACCAAAAGGCCACACATCCTCCCCCTAGACTTCAGGGTAGGCCCGAGGACCCACACCCTCCATCCGTGAAAAAACACAAACATAAGTAAAGCAAAAAGTGACAAGACGTGGGAGTGCATAATAAATAAATAAATAGAAAATAAAAAAGTGGTACCGTGCCAAATAGTGCACAGACCAGGCCCTGAGGCCCATAGCAAAAATTGCCCCTGGACTTAGCCAAAAGACCTGGTCCTTAGGGCGCTGTGCAAAAAGAGGTGAAAAACAGTGGCCATGTGTCATCTTCACACCGTGGGGTCCCACACCCAAGTGTTACAGTGACACCCCTGAGAGCGTCTTCCCCAGGGGGCACTGAGTTTGCGGACTTTTTGTGTCCCCAGCCCCTGGCCAGACCAAGGTAGATCCGTCCAAATCAGAAGGTACTGGGTCTTTCCAGTCTTCCCAGAGGAATTACTCCCAAGGCCCCAGAACGAATCATGGCGCTCCCTGGTTTCTGTCCCTCCGGTACTAGCCTCCGGTTCATCAGTGAGGGTACAACAGCCATCCCCGCAAAGCTAGAATGGCCGGGAGCACCCCCACTGGACACTGATAAGAACAGATACTACACTTGATCTGCACCAGATCAAACTCCAACATGTTTCTGAACAATCCCCTGATCGAGGCTTCGGAAGCTGTGTAGAAAAATTGACACACTACCAATCATGGAGCCCTTAATCTGAATGAAAACAGAAATATGTCTTCTAAACTTTCGAAGTTCCTGACATTTTTCTCACAAAGCTCTGATGAAGGGGGACCATTCTACCCTCCGAAATGCGTTGGATGGGCACTGTGTCGCAGGTAAGGTGCACAGGACTCATGCAGTACCTCCAGCCCCACGTTCGTACAAGATACAGACCTTCTGTTATAGGGCTGGAGGATATATACGGCAGGACTGCAATTGCAATGACGTCACCTCCTCACAGCTGGCATGCAGGGGTCAAGGCAGGCAGCAGACAAGAGGGTAGTCAGGAACAAGCAGGGTTCCGTGGCAGGCAGCAGGCAAGAGGGTAGTCAGGTATAAGTAGGGGTCAAGGCAGGCAGCAGACAAGAGGGTAGTCAGGTACAAGCAGGGATCAAGGCAGGCAGCAGAAAAAAATAGGAGTAAATAGGTTTTGGGGCAGGCAGCAGACAAGAGGGTAGTCAGGAACAAGCAGGGGTCGAGGCAGGCAGCAGACAAGAGGGTAGTCAGGAACAAGCAGGGGTCTAGGCAGGCAGCAGACAAGAGTGTAGTCAGGTACAAGCAGGGGTTGAGGCAGGCAGGCAGCAGAACAAATGGTAGTCAGGAGTAAGCAGGAATCGAGGCAGGCAGCAGACGAGAGTAGTCAGGTACAAGTAGGGGTCAAGGCAGGCAGCAGAACAAATGGTAGTCAGGAGTCGAGGCAGGCAGCAGACAAGAGAGTAGTCAGGTACAAGCAGGGGTTAAGGCAGGCAGCAGACAAGAGGGTAGTCGGGTACAAGCAGGGGTTGAGGCAGGCAGCACAAAAGAGTAGTCAGGTTCAAGCAGGGGTCGAGGCAGGCAGCAGACAAGAGGGCAGTCAGGTGACAGATGATGGATCCCAGACCTTGATGACAGAGCTGTGTGGGTGGAGCTCAAATAAAAAAACAGATTGGTGTTAGAAGTCGCACCCTCAATATAGGTAGGTGGGGTAGGGTAAACGGAAACTGTACAGGACCATGCTTCATGTTACACCCTAAATATACCTTTTTTTAATTTTTTGCATCTACTTCACACATTCCAGGAGGCTGTGTGCGGGTTTCACACAAATGATCAGTGCTCGGTCTATGCGTTACGACGTAACTGTGTTACATCCTACATGTACCTTGTTTACATTTTTTTTACCATCACTTCCTTAATTCTTGCCTAGGCAAGTGTGGTGAAACTACATCACACATTCCAGGAGGCAACATGCAGGTTTCACACAAATGACCAGTGCTAGGTCTATGTGTTACGACCAGGGGCGGACTGAGCATTTGGAAATTCTGGCACTGCCCGAGGGCCCGGGGTCAGTAGGGGGCCCCATGAGATGCCCCTGGTACCTTTTTCATAGGCTTTTTTGAGTTTGGGCAAGGATACAGGGCCCCATGATCCCCTATTGCCCGGGGCCCCATGAGTTGTCAGTCCGCCCCTGGTTAAGACTTAACATTGCGTTACATCTTAAATATACTTTTTTTTTTTTTTTATGTTTTACCCCCACTTCCTTACTCCTTGCCTAGGCAGGTATGATGAATCTACAGCTACATTGCACACTCCGGGTGGCAGCGTTCCAGATTTCGCTCAGATGATCTCTGCTAGGTCTATAGGTTACGACGTAAAATTGTGTTACATCCTAAATATACCTTGTTTACTTTTTTTTTTACCGTCACTTCCTTATTCTTGCCTAGGCAAGTGTGGTGAATCTACATCACACATTCTAGGAGGCAGCATGGAGGTTTCACACAAATGGCTTGTGCTAGGTCTATGCGTTACGACGTAAAATTGCGTTACATCCTAAATATAGGTATGATGAATCTACATCTACATTACACATTCCAGGAGGCAGCGTTCCAGATTTCGCTCAGATGATCTCTGCTAGGTCTATGCATTACAACGTAACATTGCCTTACACCCTAAATATACCTTTTTTTTATTTTTCTACCCTCATTTCCTTATTCCTTGCCTAGGCAAGCATAATGAATCTCCATCTCCATCACACATTCCAGGAGGCAGTATTCCGGATTTCACTCAAATGATCTCTGCTAGGTCTGTACGTTATGACGTAACATTGCGTTACATCTTAAATATACCTTTTTTAATTTGTCCTTACTAGGCAAGTATGGTGAATCTAAATATCCAGGAGGCAATGTTCTGGATTTCACTCAAATGATCTTGCTTTGTACGTTATGACGTAACATTGTGTTACAGCCTAAATATACCTATTTTTTTTTTTGTAGAGTTTTTTTTTTTTTTTTTTTTTTTTTTATCCACCCCTCCCTATTCCTTGCCTATGGTGAATCTACATCACACATTCCAGGTGGTAGTGTGGTTCCTATGGGCCCTGATGTTACAACGTAACATTGCGGCCATGTTCCATGTATCACCCTAAATATGGATGTAGCATGAAACATGGTACAAGGGTGGACAGTGGCTTTAACCTGACAGACACCACCTGTAACCAAGGTATCAGTCCTTAATGGACTGGCTCCTCCTGCAGCAGCGCTCCATTTTTTTCTTTTTAACCAGTGGATACAATTTTTTCTTTTCTAGGTCTTTCCTCTGTTTTCTTGTCTTGGAGCGAACGGTCTGCTGATTGAGTATGAAGATACCTTTCCGTATTATGGAGAGCTCCTCCCTCTGCAGGCAGCACATGCTTACAGGTATGTGGACACAGATGCAACACCTCCTGCGCTCAGGGACCCAGATCAGTACAGGGCCGATGGATCAATAATATTAGGGTGTATGGAAGTTTGTCCCAGACCGATCAAAGGCTGTGCAGCTCCAACACAAAGCTGGGGAAGCTTGATTCAAACTGTAGTGGAGAACTGCATTATTGCTGCATTGGAGTACTAGGAATGCAGGAGCAGCAGGGAAAGTCTCTTGCAGCAATGGGAATGCAGGAGCAGCAGGGAATGTCTCTTGCAGCAATGGGGAATGCAGGAGCAGCAGGGGAGCCTGTGGGCAGGAGCAGCAGGGAATGTCTCTTGCAGCAATGGGAATGCAGGAGCAGCAAGGAATGTCTCTTGCAGCAATGGGAATGCAGGAGCAGCAGGAAAAGTCTCTTGCAGCAATGGGAATGCAGGAGCAGCAGGGAATGTCTCTTGCAGCAATGGGAATGCAGGAGCAGCAGGGAATGTCTCTAGCATGTCTGGGAATGCAGGAGCAGCAGGGAATGTCTCTAGCATGTCTGGGAATGCAGGAGCAGCAGGGAATGTCTTTAGCATGCCTGGGAATGCAGGAGCAGCAGGGAATGTCTCTAGCATGTCTGGGAATTCAGGAGCAGCAGGGAATGTCTCTAGCATGTCTGGGAATGCAGGAGCAGCAGGGAATGTCTCTAGCCTGTCTGGGAATGCAGGAGCAGCAGGGAATGTCTCTAGCAGGCCTGGGAATACAGGAGCAGCAGGGAATGTCTCTAGCATGTCTGGGAATGCAGGAGCAGCAGGGAATGTCTCTAGCCTGTCTGGGAATGCAGGAGCTAGCAGGGAATGTCTCTAGCAGGCCTGGGAAACAGGAGCAGCAGGGAATGTCTCTAGCATGTCTGGGAATGCAGGAGCAGCAGGGAATGTCTCTAGCATGTCTGGGAATGCAGTCTCTAGAGCATGCAGGAGCAGCAGGGAATGTCTCTAGCAGGCTGGGAATGCAGGAGCAGCAGAGAAAGTATCTAGCAGCACTGGGAATGCAGGAGCAGCAGGGAAAGTATCTCAGCACTGGGAATGCAGGAGCAGCAGGGAAAGCTAGCAGCACTGGGAATGCAGGAGCAGCAGAGAAAGTATCTAGCAGCACTGGGAATGCAGGAGCAGCAGGGAAAGTATCTAGCAGCACTGGGAATGCAGGAGCAGCAGGGAAAGTATCTAGCAGCACTGGGAATGCAGGAGCAGCAGGGAAAGTATCTAGCAGCACTGGGGAGCTGGAAACAAAGGAGAACCTGGAAAAGTCCTTTGCAGCACTGGAAATTAACACTGAAATAACCTGCTGTAGTATTGCTGGTGCTCTCCTGGAGTGTATAAGTCAGCTTTGTGCAGGAATGCTGGTGCTCACTTGGAGCATACAGGGCAGCCAGGTGCAAGCATGTTGGTGCTCACTTGGAGTATACAGGGCAGCCAGGTGCAGGAATGCTGGTGCTCACTTGGAGTATACAGGGCAGCCAGGTGCAGGAATGCTGGGGCTCACTTGGAGTATACAGGGCAGCCAGGTGCAGGAATGCTGCTGCTCACTTGGAGTATACAGGGCAGCCAGGTGCAGGAATGCTGGTGCTCACTTGGAGTATACAGGGCAGCCAGGTGCAGGAATGCTGGTGCTCACTTGGAGTATACAGGGCAGCCAGGTGCAGGAATGCTGGTGCTCACTTGGAGTATACAGGGCAGCCAGGTGCAGGCATGTTGGTGCTCACTTGGAGTATACAGGGCAGCCAGGTGCAGGAATGCTGGTGCTCACTTGGAGTATACAGGGCAGCCAGGTGCAGGCATGTTGGTGCTCACTTGGAGTATACAGGGCAGCCAGGTGCAGGAATGCTGGTGCTCACTTGGAGTATACAGGGCAGCCAGGTGCAGGAATGCTGGGGCTCACCGGAATGGTCACAGGGAATCACAGAGGTGCTGAGAACATAGGAAATTGTCTCTGAAGATGCTGGGAAGCTTAGAGGGCTCAGCAGTTATCATGTTGGCACGTTGCTCAAATGCCAAGCAACACGCCAGCTAGCCTGCTCTGTGATTGGATCCGGTGACATGGAACAGGTGAGTGTGATGGGTGGGATCCGCAATAACTGCCATTTTTAGTATTCATCAATCATAAATATGCAATAGCACCCTGTGTCTGTGTGATTTCAATTGTCTGATTTGCTCATGTCCCATCAGCCCTCAGGAGATCCGAGAGATACTTCGGCTGGCCCAGCTCCACAACCTCGAGGTTATTCCATTAATACAAACGTTTGGACACATGGAGGTAAGACCAGAAAAATGTTCCGTAGCCAGGGATGTCCTCATCCGCTTCATGTTGTTGACTTCGGCATGTCTGTTTGCAGTTCGTCCTGAAACAGAAAGAGTTCTCTCACCTGCGGGAGGTGCCTGAATACCCCAACAGCCTGAACCCCCACAAGGAGGAATCCCTCCAACTCCTGAAGCTCATGATAGGACAAGTCATGGAGCTCCATCCTGCAGTTCAATGGTTTCACATTGGTTCTGACGAGGTATGAACAGACTTGAGAGGACCTGTTGGGTGGTGGTTGTGTACTCCTCTTGTGTTTGAAAGCATTTATTTAGACATGTGGTTGGGGGGCAGCAAAAATGTACAATTGAGCCACGTTTTTGCCGCCCACCAACTTTTTCCCCCTTAACCACCTCCTGTCCGGCCGTTGTATATAAACGGCCGGACGGTGGCAGTGCAGGGGCGGGTGGCTGTTTATAAACGGCCTCCCTGTCCCCTGCTTGTGCGCGCTCCCTGGGAGCGCACAGCACCACAATCCGGTGCCTGCTGTGTCCTCCGGACACAGTGGAACACCGATCGTCATACGGGACCTCTGTGTGAGGTCCCGATCATGTGATCACCGATTGGCCAATCAGTGATCACATGCAGAGTAGTAAGCAAGATGTCACTTCTGACATCATTGCTTACTACGTGTGAAATCTGTGAATGATCACAGAGGTCACATGGTACAGGGCTATTCACAACAGCCTTGTACCATGTGACAAGCTGTGACCAATCAGAGCTCACACAGTAGTTCTCAATGGCTGCAAGAATGCAGCCAGAGAGGAGGAGAAATGATTGCTTTTACAGCCTTTATGGGTGTAAAAGCAATCAGTGTAAAAAAAAGAAAAATAAAATTTTTCATCACCCCCCACAAGTAGTACAGTGTCACCATGGTGACACTGTACTGCTAAGGTGACAGTATGTAAAAAAAAAAAACCATAAATAATAATATAAAAAAAAAATGTAAAAAAAATGTTTAAAAATTATAATTTTTGGTTATAAACTAATTTGGGTTATTTTTTTTTTATTAAAAAGATAATGGAATAAATTTTGGCCAAGATTTATGATGAAATATTTATTTGCAAAATTTTATGAGAAAAACACTTTTTCAAAATTTTTGGACATTTTCATTTACATAGCAAAAAAAATAAAAATCCCAGTGGCGAATAAATACTACCAAAATAAAGCTTTATCTGTCTAAAAAAAAATGCTAAAAAATTCAAAGGGGTACAGTGTTGCATGACCGCACAATTGTCATTCAAAGTGTGATAGCACTGAAAGCTGAAAATTGGCCTGGGCAGGAAGAGGATGAAAGTGTCCGGACTGGAAGGGGGGGAAAGTGTCCAGACTGGAAGGGGGGGAAAGTGTCCAGACTGGAAGGGGGTGAAAGTGTCCTGGAAGGGGGGGACTGGAAAGGGGGGAAAGTGTCCGGACTGGAAGGGGGGGGGAAAGTGTCCGGACTGGAAGGGGGGGGAAAGTGTCCGGACTGGAATGGGGGAGAAAGTGTCCGGACTGGAAGGGGGGTGAAAGTGTCCGGACTGGAAGGGGGGGTGAAAGTGTCCGGACTGGAAGGGGGGTGAAAGTGTCCGGGCTTGAAGGGGGTTAAAGCAGATCTTTACCCTTTCAATGGACTTGGCTCCTTTCCATCCCATCCATCTACAGTAGGAGACCGCAATGCGATAAGTTTTCTCAGTGCGGTATTTTTGAAAGCTATACTGCATTTTGGCCACTGGATGTTGCTGCTGATAACAGGAGTTAATCCATTGAAGACATAAGGTGAAATTTAGTTCAGCTTGCACCGATATTTCTGACATTCGTGCAACAAAAGTTTTATAAAAAGACCCCTTTGTGTACACCAGATGCCATTGCAAACCCAGACATTACCTTGTAAAATTAGCGGCAATATCATCACAGCCCACATGGAAGAAAAATATATTTGAAATATATTTTTAAAATATTCTTCCCAAATATATTGACATATATTTGAAATGCTACAATTTTGGCCATATTCAATATATTTCAATAAATATATATATATAAATACACACACATCTATCATGTTGAAATGCATTTTTTATATATTACAGAATGTATGAAAAATATTTTTAAAAATATATTTTTTCAAATATATTCTTCAGATTTTTTTTTAACCTATAAAAAAGTAATTTTAACATATATTTTTACATATATTTGTAAATGCATTCCAAAAAAAATGTAGATTTGTAGTTTTACAGTATATTTGAAATGTATTTTTAATATTTTTCATATATTTCGTAATAGAAACGCATTTCAACATGCAATATATATATATATATATATATATATTATATATATTATTTATTTATTTATTGAAATATATTTTTAAAATATATTGAATATGACCAAAACTGTAGCATTTCAAATATATATCATTATATTTGGGAAGAATATTTTTAAACTATATTTCAAATATATTTTTCTTCCATATGAGTGTGCTGTACATACAGTCAGGTCCATAAATATTGGGACATCGACACAATTCTAACATTTTTGTCTCTATACACCACCACAATGGATTTGAAATGAAACGAACAAGATGTGCTTTAACTGCAGACTGTCAGCTTTAATTTGAGGGTATTTACATCCAAATCAGGTAAACGGTGTAGGAATTACAATAGTTTGCATATGTGCCTCCCACTTGTTAAGGGACCAAAAGTAATGGGACAGAATAATAATCATAAATCAAACTTTCACTTTTTAAAACTTTGTTGCAAATCCTTTGCAGTCAATTACAGCCTGAAGTGTGGAACGCATAGACCTCACCAGACGCTGGGTTTCATCCCTGGTGATGCTCTGCCAGGCCTCTACTGCAACTGTCTTCAGTTCCTGCTTGTTCTTGGGGCATTTTCCCTTCAGTTTTGTCTTCAGCAAGTGAAATGCATGCTCAATCGGATTCAGGTCAGGTGATTGACTTGGCCATTGCATAACATTCCACTTCTTTCCCTTAAAAAACTCTTTGGTTGCTTTTGCAGTCTGCTTTGGGTCATTATCCATCTGCACTGTGAAGCGTCCAATGAGTTGTGAAGCATTTGGCTGAATATGAGCAGATAATATTCCCGAAACACTTCAGAATTCATCCGGCTGCTTTTGTCAGCAGTCACATCATCAATAAATACAAGAGAACCAGTTCCATTGGCAGCCATACATGCCCACGCCATGACACTACCACCACCATGCTTCACTGATGAGGTGGTATGCTTAGGATCATGAGCAGTTCCTTTCCTTCTCCATACTCTTCTCTTCCCATCACTCTGGTACAAGGTGATCTCGGTCTCATCTGTCCATAGGATGTTGTTCCAGAACTGTGAAGGCTTTTTTAGATGTCGTTTGGCAAACTCTAATCTGGCCTTCCTGTTTTTGAGGCTCACCAATGGTTTACATCTTGTGGTGAACCCTCTGTATTCACTCTGGTGAAGTCTTCTCTTGATTGGTGACTTTGACACACATACACCTACCTCCTGGAGAGTGTTCTTGATCTGGCCAACTGTTGTGAAGGGTGTTTTCTTCACCAGGGAAAGAATTCTTTGGTCATCCACCACAGTTGTTTTCCGTGGTCTTCCGGGTCTTTTGGTGTTGCTGAGCTCACCGTTGCGTTCCTTCTTTTTAAGAATGTTCCAAACAGTTGTTTTGGCCACGCCTAATGTTTTTGCTATCTCTCTGATGGGTTTTGTTTTGTTTTTTTCAGCCTAATGATGGCTTCACTGATAGTGACAGCTCTTTGGATCTCATCTTGAGAGTTGACAGCAACAGATTCCAAATGCAAATAGCACACTTGAAATGAACTCTGGACCTTTTATCTGCTCATTGTAATTGGGATAATGAGGAAATAACACACACCTGGCCATGGAACAGCTAAGAATTTGTTTCATTTCAAATCCATTGTGGTGGTGTATAGAGCCACAAAATGTTAGAATTGTGTCGATGTCCCAATATTTATGGACCTGACTGTAGCTGTGGGATGGACCCATCAGGCTCCACCCACTACAGAAGGGGGGGTAGAGATAAGGCCAGTCACAGGGGAGAGGGAGAAAGGGCAGATCTGTGGGAGGGACCCAGCAAGCTCCACCTACCACAGGCTGCATTCAGAAAACTACAGGAGGGGGCGGAGACAGGACCAGTCCCCCTGCACAAGGAGAGAGAGCAGCACTGAGCGGTCTTTATTACAGGAAGTCTCACACTGGATCACTGCACAGAACTGGAAGGAATACATAAAGCACGCCGAGGTTTAAGAAGAAGACTCATGATGAATGGATTTAGATAATATTTTATTATCATGGAGTTCAGATTTAAAGCAATGTTCCTTTCTGTTTGCAACTGTGACTTCCTCCTTTTCACCTCCTAGGTCTACTACCTTGGCAAGGGAGAAGAGTCGAAGATGAAAATTTCTGGGGGTGGCCTTTCTGTAGAAGACATCTTTCTGTCCCATATGAAGAAAGTGGCCAACCACGTGGCCTCCACCTATCCCGGGGGTACGGGTGATCGCCTGGGATGACATGCTGCGCGGAGCGAGCGTCCAAACCTTGACAGGTCAGTGCATACGTCATATTTTATATAAAGTTGAACTCCATACACATCTTTTGAGTAGACCAGGAAAGGTTTAAAGTCTCTGGCAGGTTGTATTGCCATCAGTATCCCTATTGGGGGGCTTCTTTCTTAAATCTGACCTCAAGTCTTCCCTTCAGTCTTGCACAGGCACCTCTCATATATTGAAACGGCTTACTCTGATATCACTGCACACTGTGAGCTTCTCACGATGTGCATTATACACTGCAGCAAGTCAGATGGAACCAACCTCATTTCCTGGTTGGAGGACTTCCAGCATCATCCAGCCTTTCCTTCCCATATTGATCATCGTTCTTGGCTAAGATCAAGTGTAGTATCTGTTGTTATCAGTTTTTGGGAGAGAGAACAGAGATGGTGAGGGGGGGGGGGGGGGCTCTGTCTAGTATCTGGCTTGATGTAATTTGGTGGAAGTGGGCCTTTTTTCTGCTGGGTTGGTTCTGCCCGGTGCACCAGGCTTGTTCCCAGTTGTAGGCAAAGCTCTCCCTAAGCTTCGTAAGTTCTGATGATTTCCTGGTAGGGATGGGGCTGCGCTGGTCTGGCCGAGGGCTGAGCTGAGAAAGAAGCCTGCGGTGTATGTGTCCCTGGAGTGGCAGTCCAGGGGTACCGTAATTCTCACGGTGATGGAGCTCACCTTAGGTTTTTGGCACCATGGCCACTGGACCAGTACACTCTTTTTTTGCACCTGCCTCTAGGGCCAGGGCCTTGGGGTAGGACCAGAGGAATTTTATTTTCCTGTCTGAAGGGCCTGCCATGGTATCTCACTATGGCACTTTTGGCACGTATCCACTTCCCCCATCCTTTTTTTAATTGTGTGTCTGTCACTTGCATTTTTGCACAGCACTACACACTATTCATTACCCTGATTAGTAGCGTGTAGGTCCTCAGGCCTGCTATGACATTCTTGAGAGGGAGGGCACATGGCCTTTTGGTGAAGTTCTCCCCCTCCCATGGGGTCACCCTTCGGGGGAGCCCCACCGAGTACTTGGGATGGCCTTGCTTTGGCAGACCTCCCGAAGAAAGGGGTTGACCTGGTTTCAGCCAGGTGGACCAGTGATTGCCTCAGTCCCTGTCAGGAACCTTGCGCCTCAGAGCTAGGGCCCTTTCTCTTCGGAGGAGGACAATACATACACCTTGTGCACTTTTTTGTGTGCTTCACTTTTGTGGGCTCACTTTTTTTTTTTATGCACCAGGTGTCAGTTTTGTGAGTGTGTTTCTTCAAAAAATAAAAAAATTCCTTCCCTTACTGACTGTCCCTAACCCATCCCTTTCATTCATCAAAGCGGAATTCCACCCAAAAGTGGAAGCTCCGCTTATCTGCCTTTTTCCCCCTCCGCTGCTACATTGGCCGGCTCAGTAGGGACCGGGCAAATTTTGATCAATGTATGAGGTGGTATCAAAAAATTTTGAGACTAATTTTGTAGCACGCCAACAGATGGCTGCAGATGGCAGCACAAGGCTGCACGCACAGTCGCAGGGCGCACCGACAAGTCAGTGTGCCAAAAGACCTCGTCCTCTGTACATCGGGAGCCGTGCAGCTGGTGCTATTCTGACCACATGCATTACCATGTCTGCTATTTCATCATGGACAGCAAGTTAGAACAAAGAGCAAATGTGAAATTCTGCGTGAAACTGGGCAAATCTGCCACAGAGAAATTTTACATGATTCCGCAATTTTACAGCGATGCTGTAATGAGTCGTTCGAGGTGTTTTGAGCAGCACACATGCTTCTAGAGTAGAAGAACATCACTTAAAGACGACGAAAGATCAGGAAGACCTTCAACGAGCTCAACCCCCGAAAATGTCGAATCGTGCATGATGTTCTTCAGAGAACAATCCACAACATTGCTGCCATTGTCGATGTGTCATACGGAACAGTCCAGGCAATCCTCATGTGTGATCTGAACATGCAACGTGTTGCTGCCACGTTCGTCCCCAGACTGCAATGATCTCACTTCTTCACCCACCCTACTCACCAGACTTGGCTCCTGCAGACTTCCCCTCTTCCGAAGATGAAGATCCAGCTCAAAGGTCACCATTTTGACAACATTGCAGAGATCCAGCACAAGTAGCATAAGGTGCTTGACACGCTTCGAAAAGAAGACTTCCAGGACTATTCCAGAAGTAGCAGGAATGCTGGGAGCACTGTATTGCTGTGCAATGGGACTATTTTGAAGGTGATGATGTGTAAACGTAGATAAAGTACTTTCTTGTAAACGGAGCTACTCTCCAAGCTTTTGGATACCACCTCATATGGCCAGCTTTAGTTGAAAAGAAGGGGGGGGGTGGGTGAACAAGGTGATAAAGGCGGTTAGCCTCGGGTGATAATGGAAAGTGTTGGGTTTTTAAGGGGGGTGACCCAGGTAATAATAAGGCGTGGTAGTGATCTTAGGGGTTGACCCAGGTGTCTCCAGGGTTGAGCCATGATGGGTGAGTAGAAGAGACGGCCTTCAACAGGATGGAGGTGCAAAAAAGGACGGACATGCAACCTGTGCTGTGCAGTTTGGCTTTTTTGACCTTAGGTGCTGAAGGACCTCGTTCCGACATCAGTACCAGGAACCTGAAAGGTCTACCAGTTCAAATGTCTGTCTAGATCAGGGTCTGCAACCTTTAAGACATAAAGAGCCACTTGGACCCGTTTCCGAAGGGAAAAAAAAGACTGGGAGCCGCAAAACCATTGCAACATTTATAACAAATCCGACACTGCATATATTGCAAAAAGCACTCTGGTCATGAAGGGGGTTTAAGGGCCCAGTAAGCAAAGGGTTAATCAGGGCCACAGTGTATCTTCATAATCACAATCATAGCCTTAGGTCAGTGGTGGGCAACCTTTTTTTTCAACTGAGCCAAATCTCGCCAAAACCACGATTGAAATTTATTTTGACAGCCACATTTTTAAAACTGAAAATACATCCCCCATATAGTAATTCATCCCCCATAGTAATTCATCCCCCATATAGTAATTCATCCCCCACATAGTAATTCATCCCCACATAGTAATTCATCCCCCATAGTAGTAAATTCATCATCCCCACCATAGTAATTCATCCCCCATATAGTAATTCAATCCCCCATATAGTAATTCATCCCCCATATAGTAATTCTTCCCCCATAGTAATTCATCCCCCATATAGTAATTCATCCCCCATAGTAATTCATCCCCCATATAGTAATTCATCCCCCATATAGTAATTCATCCCCCATATAGTAATTCATCCCCCATAGTAATTCATCCCCCACATAGTAAATTCATCCCCCATAGTAATTCATCCCCCATATAGTAATTCATCCCCCATATAGTAATTCTTCCCCCATAGTAATTTATCCCCCATATAGTAATTCTTCCCCCATAGTAATTCATCCCCCATATAGTAATTCTTCCCCCATAGTAATTCATCCCCCACATAGTAATTCATGCCCCCCATATAGTAATTCTTCCCCCATAGTAATTCATCCCCCACATAGTAATTCATTCCCCATAGTAATTCATCCCCCACATAGTAATTCATCCCCCACATAGTAATTCATCCCCCACATAGTAATTCAGTCCCCATAGTAATTCATCCCCCACACAGTAATTCATCCCCCACATAGTAATTCATCCCCCATATTGTCTCAATTCACTTACCTTTGCTCCGCGCGTTCCTCTCGCTGTGTTCCCGCGCCGTTCTGGTCTTCAGGGCGGACTGAGAGAGGAGTTCGTCACTCTGCCCCGCCTACATCCTGGCTGCCCCACCTACATCCTGACAGCCAATGTTCCACGCTCCGCGGGCCGGATTTTTTGAGGAGGGAGGGGAGCGGGCGCCCGGCACACAGAAGAGCCGCATGTGGCTCGCGATCTGCGGCTTGCCGACCACCTGGTGGGCAGTGTGCTCCGGAGCCGCAGCAAAGATGAAAAAGAGCCGCATGCGGCTCCGGAGCCGCGGGTTGCCGACACCCGGTCTAGATAAAGTCACATCATGACACCATGATCTCTGCAAACAAAGCTCTTTCAAAGAAGGCATGCTGAGGGTCCTTTAAGATGTGCTCTCTAAACAAGATCACGGGATCCGCACAGGAGCCAATACTAGGATGCCTTTTTTCCAAATAACACTGGAAATCTCTGTAGCCTCATCTCTTTGTCTTACCATCCTGGCAGTGCTTTGAAGGTAGGACCAGGCCGAGGGGTAGACAGGGCACTTCAGCAGGGGAGGGGGGGGGGGCACAAAAGGGGCAGGACCTGCAAACTATGCTGATAAAGTAGTTTACAGCTCATTGGGTGGGGGGGGGGCACACTTTGCCTTTTGCTTTGAGTTCTATAAAGGACCTTTTCCCATCACTAAGTGAAGGCCTATGCTGGATTTCAGATTATTATTATTATTATTATACAGGATTTATGGCGGCCAACAGTTTGCTCAGTGCTTTACAATATAACGGGAGACAATACAGCAACAATACAATTCAATACAAGAGGGTTAGGAGGGCCCTGATCCTGGGAGCTTACAATCTAAGAGGGAGGGGCTAGTGGTACAAAAGGTAGTAACTGTGGGGGATGGAGTGGTTGGAAGAGTGGAAGATTCCATTATTAGCTGAGGGCAGGATAGGCTTCCCTGAAGAGAGAGGTTTTCAGAGATCGCCTAAAAGTGAGCAGAGTAGACGATAGTCTGATAAATTGGGGTAGAGAATTCCAGAGGATGGGGGAAGCTCTGAAGAAGTCCTGGAGATGAGCATGGGAGGAGGAGATGATGATGTGGGGGCTGCGAGCAATGAATCAACCAGGAATAAAGAGCAATGCAGCTGTTAGTTTTTATCAGAACCGTCGAGTTGTTATATACAGTACATACATGTGCATTAATATCCTTCTATACAGTACATACATGTGCAATTATATCCTTCTATACAGTACATACATGTGCAATTATATCCTTATATACAGTACATACATGTGCATTAATATCCTTATATACAGTACATACATGTGCAATTATATCCTTATATACAGTACATACATGTGCATTAATATCCTTATATACAGTACATACATGTGCACTTATATCCTTATATACAGTACATACATGTGCAATTATATCCTTATATGCAGTACATACATGTGCACTTATATCCTTATATACAGTACATACATGTGCATTAATATCCTTATATACAGTACATACATGTGCAATAATATCCTTATATACAGTACATACATGTGCAATTTATATCCTTATATACAGTACATACATGTGCATTAATATCCTTATATACAGTACATACATGTGCAATTATATCCTTATATATAGTACATACATGTGCAATTATATCCTAAATTAGAGATCTGTTACTGTCTTCTTTAGAGTCTGGCGTTGCACAGCTAGTGGAGCCTATGATCTGGGGACTACACTTCGAATCTGGATGTTGATGGCAGAAGTAAGTTGTAGATATTATATTTTTAAAAAATTAGAACAAATAATGTAAGGCCCCTTTCACACTGCAGCCTGGACAGTTCCACCTGTCAGTTTTTTGGACCATCCTTAGCTCTCTATGGTGTGGCGGGTGTCAACGGACATATGTCCGCTGACACCCACCGGAATCCAATCGATCCTGTACACTAAAAACAGACAGATGGGGATCCGTTCCCCATCCATCTGGCAGATCGGATCGGATGACAGTCAGGTGGAAATGGACAGCGGGTCTGTTTATACTCTCCTAATACCGGCACCCACCTCTAATGTGAATCATTGGAGCCATGTTGGAATGATCGCTTTGAGCAGCGCTCATACGTTTTCACATAGTTTATGGTCACATGTGACGGTGCCATTCATCAGCCCCCACATTCCCACAACCATTAACAGAGGTCTTTGAACGGACAAACTACAAGTCCTGCATATCGCTGCGGCAGAGGGACTCCTGTTTCTCAAAAGAGCAGAAGAGAGAGATATCATATTACACCCCTCCCCCCCGGTTACAAATCATTAGTAAAACCTCATCTGGAATATGCAGTTCAGTTTTGGGCACCAATTCACAAAAATAAGAACATTGGGGAACTGTATAATACATAAGGGGGATATGATCTCCATGTATAATACATAAAGGGGGGATATGATCTCCATGTATAATACATAAGGGGGGATATGATCTCCATGTATAATACATAAGGGGGGGTATGATCTCCATGTATAATACATAAGGGGGGATATGATCTCCATGTATAATACATAAGGGAGGATATGATCACCATGTATATATAAGGGGGGGGGGGATATGATCTCCATGTATAATACATAAGGGGGGATATGATCTCCATGTATAATACATAAGGGGGATATGATCTCCATGTATAATACATAAGGGGGGATATGATCTCCATGTATAATACATAAGGGGGGATATGATCACCATGTATAATACATAAGGGGGGATATGATCTCCATGTATAATACATAAGGGGGGATATGATCACCATGTATAATACATAAGGGGGGATATGATCTCCATGTATAATACATAAGGGGGATATGATCTCCATGTATAATACATAAGGGGGATATGATCTCCATGTATAATACATAAGGGGGGGTATGATCTCCATGTATAATACATAAGGGGGGGATATAATCACCATGTATAATACATAAGGGGGGGATATGATCTCCATGTATAATACATAAGGGGGGGATATGATCACCATGTATAATACATAAGGGGGGATATGATCTCCATGTATAATACATAAGGGGGGGTATAATCACCATGTATAATACATAAGGGGGGGATATGATCTCCATGTATAATACATAAGGGGGGGATATGATCTCCATGTATAATACATAAGAAGGGGGGGATATGATCTCCATGTATAATACATAATGGGGGGGGATATGATCACCATGTATAATACATAAGGGGGGATATGATCACCATGTATAATACATAAGGGGGGATATGATCTCCATGTATAATACATAAGGGGGGATATGATCTCCATGTATAATACATAAGGGGGGATATGATCTCCATGTATAAATACATAAGGGGGGGATATGATCTCCATGTATAATACATAAGGGGGGGATATGATCACCATGTATAATACATAAGGGGGGATATGATCACCATGTATAATACATAAGGGGGGGACATGATCTCCATGTATAATAAGGGGGGGATATGATCACCATGTATAATACATAAGGGGGGGATATGATCACCATGTATAATACATAAGGGGGGTATGATCTCCATGTATAATACATAAGGGGGGTATGATCACCATGTATAATACATAAGGGGGGGATATGATCTCCATGTATAATACATAAGGGGGGATATGATCTCCATGTATAATACATAAGGGGGGATATGATCTCCATGTATAATACATAAGGGGGATATGATCTCCATGTATAATACATAAGGGGGGGGGGGTATGATCTCCATGTATAATACATAAGGGGGGATATGATCTCCATGTATAATACATAAGGGGGGTATGATCACCATGTATAATACATAAGGGGGGATATGATCTCCATGTATAATACATAAGGGGGGGATATGATCTCCATGTATAATACATAAGGGGGGGGGATATGATCTCCATGTATAATACATAAGGGGGGATATGATCTCCATGTAGAATACATAAGGGGGGATATGATCTCCATGTATAATACATAAGGGGGGGATATGATCTCCATGTATAATACATAAGGGGGGATATGATCTCCATGTATAATACATAAGGGGGGATATGATCTCCATGTATAAATACATCAGTGGTTCATATAGTGAACTCGGTGTAGAGTTATTCCCCCTGAGGTCATCACAGAGGACAAGGGGGCGCTCTTTACATCTGGAGGAAAAGAAATGTAATCTCCAAACACGGAAAGGTTTCTTCACAGTAAGAGCTGTGAGAATGTGGAATAGACTCCCTCCAGAGTTGGTTGTGGCCAGCTCAGTGGATTGCTGTAGGAAAGTCCTGGATTCTTTCTTGGATACACAGAATATAACTGGATATAACATTTATAGGTAAAGTTGATCCAGGGAATATCTGATTGTCTGTCGGGGGATCATGAAGGAATTTTTTCCCTGCAGGAGCAAATTGGATCGTGCTTTGCTGGGTTTTTTGCCTTCCTCTGGATCAACTGTGGGTGTAGGATTATAACTTTTTTTTTTTTTTTAATGGTTGAACTGGATGGACTTTTTGTCTTTTTTCATCCAGACTGACTATGTAACTGTGTAGTGACATCGCCACACTAGTAGTTCTTTCATACTTCCTCCAGATCCATAATTGAAGGTCCGTACCGAGGCATGGGACTGGAGGAATAGTCTGCAGGAGCCTGTAAACTGCCAGAGAAAATGCCAGTTTGAACATTACGGCAGACTTCTTAAGCAAAGCCATCCCCTCCAGCGCTACAATGCCCACACTCCCCTTTGTGGCCAGCGCTACCATCCTTACCTGGCTTTTTTACAGGATCAGAGTCTTCCTTGATTTTAATTGGCCGGACCAGAATGACAACTCCCATGCATGTGCACAGTAGTTTTTTTTCTTCCCAGCACGGAACCGTGCTGAGACTGTACACCAAACTGAGCATGCACTGGTTCAGTATACACTAGAATAGGAAACCGCTGACAGGCAGGGAGAAGCATTTATGAAGAAGGGACATACCAAGTCTCTTCCTGATTAGCACACCATCTATTCTATATATACTGTATGATATAAAATGTTTCTCTTTATAAGATATTATTCTATGGAGAGTTCTGTAACAATAAACTCCTGAAGACTCTTTTATCGGCACCACCCAGTGACTTAGTTATTTGTTTCCTCCCCTCAGTTGCTCTGATCGAGAAGTACTGGCAGTGCGGCTTTCACAAGATCTGGTTGGCCAGCGCGTTTAAAGGTGCCACCGGCCCTTCCCAACAGCTGACCCTTATTGGGAGTCATCTAGAAAACCACAGATGTTGGCAGCGAGTGGCCCAGAGAGTGCCTCAAGGCATCCTGCAAGGACTGGCGCTGACAGGGTGGCAGCGGTAAGTACATGAGGGGCAGCCATGCTGTGTATCTAAAGTGATTTTAACTGACCCAGCTCCGCCCCATAGCAGAAATACTGCTACAGGGCGGCAGCTGTGCGCAAAATCACATATATATGTGATTTTGCATTTCTAGGTAGGGTGCGCATGCGCCCCCTACCCACACCGCCATTAGCAGCCGCTGCTGTCAATCACCGGGTCCCGGACAGTGATTACTCGCCAGCGCCCAGTGATTGCAAGGATCTCCGATGGGGATAGAACTGTTAGTTTACAAAACATTTCTCCTCCCTGTAAAACAGCACACAGTTAACCCTTTGATCGCCCCATATGTTAACTCCTTCCTGCCCAGTGCCATTAGTACCATGTCAGTGCTTTTTATTAGCACCGATCACTGTATTGGTGTCACTGGGGATGTCAGTGACACCAAGTCAGTTCCCCCCCAGTGTCAGAATGCCCGACGCAGTCCCACTATAAGTTGCTGATCGCCGCCATTACTGTAAAAAAAAATTCAGTATATATACCGCCATTTGTAAACGCTATAACTTTCACGTAAACCAATTAATTTACACGTATTGGGATTTTAGCAAAGACACGGAGCAGAATACATTTTTGGACCAAAAAGTGTCCTCGTAAGCTTTAGTAAATCTCCTCCAATGTCTCTGAATGACAATTTGATGACTAAATTCGACAGAAACAGTCGCTCAGATTCACCGTGGCACTCAGATTCACCGTGGCGCTCAGATTCACCGTGGCGCTCAGATTCACCGTGGCGCTCAGATTCACCGTGGCGCTCAGATTCACCATGGCGCTCAGATTCACGTGGCACTCAGATTCACCGTGACGCTCAGATTCACCATGGCGCTCAGATTCACCATGGCGCTCAGATTCACCGTGGCACTCAGATTCACCGTGACGCTCAGATTCACCATGGCGCTCAGATTCACCGTGGCGGCTTGTCTTTCAGGTACGATCACTTCTCCGTCCTCTGTGAGATGTTGCCGGTTGGAATCCCGTCACTCGCCGTCTGTCTGCAGACTGTAAAAGAAGGTACGGGACTCTGTAACGTCTGATGGTGTCACAGATTATTACAGAGAGATCAGGTAGAAAACTGCATGGAAGACTCATAGACGCATTACGAAAGCCAGGCATTAGAAACACGCTGCAATGTACATACTTCAGCTGGGTTGACGCGTGTGTGTTTAGGAGAGCCGGTGGCGCATGTGTAGCTTTAGAGTTGGGGGCAGGGCCGGGACAAGAGGTGGGCAGGAGGGGTGGTTGCCCTGGGCACTTTGGTATTATGTTAGGTTGGGGGGAGCACCACAAGGAGATTGGGGGGAGGGAATTTGTGTTGGGAGGGGGAATTTAGGGGACGTCGGGGGGTAAGAAATGTTCTAGGAGGTGAAATTTGGAGAGTGGTGATTTGTGGGGATTGGTGTTGGGAGGGGGGATGGGGAAGAGGATTTGGGCTAGGAAGGGGTATTTGTGGGGTTCATGCTAGAAAAGGCAATATGGTAGGAGGGGGAGAAGGGTATTTTTGCTAGAGGGGGAATTTTTTGGGGGGGAATTGTGCTAGTAGGGATAAATGGGGGTATTTGTGCTAGGAGAGGACTTTTTTTTGGGGGGGGGGGTCTTTTTTGCTTGGATGGGGGATTGGTGAGGGGAATTTTTTTGGGGGGGAATTGTGCTAGTAGGGATGTTTGCGGGGTATTTGTGCTAGGAGGACTTTTTTTTGGGGGGGATGGATTTTTGCTTGGATGGGGGATTGGGTGAGGGGAATTTGTCCTGGGGTGGGAATTTGGGGGTGGGAGAGGATTTGTGCTCGGAAGGGAAATTTCAGGAGCAGAGGATTTATGCTAGGAAAGGAAATTTTTTTTTTTTTTTTTGGGAGGGCAAATTTGTGATGGGGGCATTTTGGAGAGAGAGAGAGGATTTGAGCTGATTGGGGTTGGGAGGGAGTAAAGATTTTTTCTGGGAGGGGGGATTTTAGCTGGGGGGGTGGATTTGTACTGGGCGGAGGGGGTAAGCACGCAGATTAGTGCTCGATTTCCTTATGGAGGGGATTTTTGCTGACACATAATGCTCATACATTTTGGGGAGGGGGGGGGGGGGGTGCAATTTGGCATACTCGCCCTGAGCTCTAATGACCTTGTCCCGGCATTGTTTGGGGGTCACACTTTATGGTCACCCCATTGGGTCTCTGTCTCCCCAGGATCTTTTTCTGAGCACACCGCAGCCACTGTGCAAGGCATCCTAGGAATGGCAACCCTGGATGTGGAAAACTACATGAGGTAAGCTAGTTTTCTTCTACCTAACCTACCTACCTAACAACAGCTCACTTATAGCTAATTTAACCCACCTTCCCCCTCCACAGCTTTATCTACACGGACAGGAGTAAAAACAGGCAGCTGAGCCGTGGTTTTACCCACCTCCCAGTTAACATTTTCAGCAACCACGTTAGTACACGCTGTAAGGTGGAATGGCCTTTCAGTGGTTAACACAGGCATCGAAAAGGCGACATATCGCCTCTGAGCCGCCTGTCAAATGTGGATAGCTTCTCGGTGAGTGGCTGTGACAGCTGCACAAGTAAATGGGCCCTTACTGAGGTCTGGCATCAGGTCCCCCAGGGTTTCACTGCAGTGTTTACATGCAGCCAGCCGTCTCCTCTGCCCTTCGAATGGGTCCAAAAGATACACTTTCACTGCAGCATTAGAAGCTGTGGCTTCTAATGCACATGGTGAGAAGCTCACAGTGTGCAGTGAAATCAGAGTAAGCCATTTTAGTCCAGGAGAGGGAGCCGGTACACCTGTGCAAGACTGACCTGTGGGGAGGAGCCGGTACACACCTGTGCAAGACTGAAGGGGAGGAGCCGGTACACTTGTGCAAGACTGAAGGGGAGGAGCCGGTACACTTGTGCAAGACTGAAGGGGAGGAGCCGGTACAACTGTGCAAGACTGAAGGGGAGGAGCCACTATACCTGTGCAAGACTGAAGGGGAGGAGCCTGTACACCTGTGCAAGACTGAAGGGGAGGAGCCGGTACACTTGTGCAAGACTGAAGGGGAGGAGCCGGTACAACTGTGCAAGACTGAAGGGGAGGAGCCACTATACCTGTGCAAGACTGGAGGGGAGGAGCCGGTACACCTGTGCAAGACTGAAGGGGAGGAGCCACTATACCTGTGCAAGACTGGAGGGGAGGAGCCGGTACACCTGTGCAAGACTGAAGGGGAGGAGCCGGTACACCTGTGCAAGAGTGAAGGGGAGGCTGGAGATCAGCTTTAGAGCTCATGTACACGGGACGTTTGGAAAACACTTCTGAACGATGGAAACTGACTGCTGGAAAGCGTAAGTTAAAAAAAACGTCTGTTTAGCCTCATTTGCATACTGCATTTATAACCTCAGGAGATCTTCTCCAATGCCCAGAATGCACTGAAAAACAGTAAAAAATTAACTATTTCAGACATTTTGAGAGGAATAGAGAGAGCAGAAGCAGAGAGAGCAGTATGTGTGGAGATGACCTGTCTTTTCTGGTTGTATTCACTATGGATCCCATCATGAGCATAATGCGGCGCATTCTACCATTTTTTCCTTCACGCAAAACCTGGAACTGACTGCGCTGGTGTGCTAGGTCCATTTAAATACATGGAAAACGCTTTGCATACATTTCTGATGATGAAAAAAGGCTCTGGACAGCATTTGGATATGGAACAGTTAAAAAACGCTGCTAAACGCAAACGCTTTTAAACACGGTTAGCTGCGTTTACAAGCGTTTGAAACGCTGATCAAATCTACTTTTTTTTAAGTCCGCAAACGTGCAACTATAACGAAAAAACCCGTAAGTGTTCACAAAAAATGTGCAAGTGCAAAACACCACACGAAAAAGTGCACTTAGGGGTGTGTTTGTCCTACCCCCGGAAGGGGTTGGACCGTTCACCCGATCCCCCGGGGCACGAAGCTCCTGACAGGGACAAGGTTCCCATTTGGTCCTCCTGGCCAAAAGGCCTGGTGGACCACCGTTCCTTATGCCCAGCCGAAGCCGGACATCCAGTACTAGGCGAGGGGGTTCTCCCGAAGAGAAAACCCCCTAGGGATCAGGGGAGGAAGGAACCATATGGCCACACATCCTCCCCCTAGACTTCAGGTAAGGCCCGAGGACCCACACCCTCCATCCGTGAAAAACACACACATAAGAACAGAAAAAGTGACAAAACGTGGGAGTGTGGTAAATAAATAGAAAATAAAAAAGTGGTACCGTGCCTAATAGTGCACAGACCAGGCCCTGAGGCCTGTAGCAAAAATTGCCCTGGACTTAGCCAAAAGACCTGGTCCTTAGGGGCTGTGCAAAAAGAAGTGAAAAACAGTGGCCATGTGTCATCTTCACACCGTGGGGTCCCACACCCAAGTGTTACTAGTGACACCCCTGAGAGCGTCTTCCCCAGGGGGCACTGAGTTTGCTGATCAAATCTACTCCTGAACGCAAGTTTGGGGCGTTCAAAAAAAAAAAACGACTGTAAACTCAACTGCCTGTAAACAATGATGTGTATATGGACACATAGGAGAACATTAGTGAGAGTTCAGGGGCTGCTGAAAAAAAATGCAGAAAAGCTCCTAAATGTGAGTTTATCAGCTGCAGTGTACATGGAGCCCTTAAGTAAAAAATTAAAAGACTTAGGCCCCATGTACACGGGACACTTCTGAATGATGGAAACTGACTGCTGGAAAACGTAAGTTAAAAAACATCTGTTTAGCCTCGTTTGCTTAACGTGTTTATGTGCGTTTGCGTTTAGAAGCGTTTTTTAAAGAGAAGCACTGGAGAACCTCCCAAATGCCCAGAATGCACTGAAAAATTGTAAATGATTAACTATTTCAGACTGTTTCAGAGAAATACAGAGAGTAGAAGCAGAGACAGCAGTATGTGTTGAGATTAGCTTAGGTGTGAGTTGACCATTAACATATCTTTTGTTTCCAAGGGTGGGAGAGGTCTGAGGTGTGAATTGGTCATTACAATGTGTGACAAGCTTGGTAGGAACATTCTGTGTTCAGTGTTTTGTCAATCTGAGCACTTTGGAAATGCTTTGCATGCATTTTTCATGATGTAAAAAGGCTCTGGACAGCATCATGAACTGGAAGAGTTACAAAAAACATTTCAAATGCTTATGAACACGTTTTGCCGCGTTTACAAGCGTTTAGCTGCATTTACAAGCGTTTTGCGTTTGAAACGCTGATAAAATCGACTGCTGAACGCAAGTTTGGTGCGTTCAAAAAAACCACTGTAAACTCAACTGCCTGTAAATGACGATGTGTATATGGACACATAGGAAAACATTAGGGAGAGTTCAGGGGCTGCTGAAAAAAAACGCTGAACAGCTCCTAAACGCCAGTTTATCAGCCTCATTGTACATGGGGCCTTAAAGACTGACTCCAGCAAACACAACAACATATTTTTTTTGTCTCAATCTCTGTAACTGAAAGTTTTGCTGGACAACTCGGCCTATTAAAGGATGTGGAAAAATATTGGGTCTACTGGCAGGATCAACAGGAAATAAAACTATGTTATAGAGCACTCAGAAACAACAGTTTGCTGTGTTATTGTTAATTACAGACTGCAGCATATATGGCATTTTCCCAGAGTACCGTTTTATTGTGTTCTGGGGTATATATTCATTTCCTGTGTTTTGTTTTTTCATGACATTAAGTATATGTGTATTTTTGGTAACAGTGAGGTTACAGGCAGCTTTCCCGGCAGTGAGGTCCTGGAACTCATCACCCAGTTCATATTCTTCCTGAAGACACCCACAAAAGAGTTTTTGGATGGGGACAGGTAAGTCCTTCTAAATAGACCCCTAGGTACTGGTCATCCCCAAGGCTAGCTGTACTACTACTGCTTAACTTGTCTAAGGTGGACCTTTAGGGCCAATTCACACTATATTCAGTGACAGACGTTTGACCGCATGGACACGCAGGAAACGGTTGTTTCCTATGTGTCCTATTCACACTGCAAAACAGCCTAGTGCTGTGCTAAAATGCAGACATGCTGCATTGTATCGCAGCGCATTAGGCCCAACTCTCACTGCGATGTCAGACAGTGCAGCGTACTACACTGCTCAACATTGCAGTGAATCAAGTGTATGTTTTGTAAGCTTCAAATAAAGCTTGTACAAAACAAATGGAGAGAGCTGCTTGATGCGCTGAATCGCGCACCAAGGTCCATATATTTGAGGTGCTCCCCCTCCCCAAAGGATTTTCAGGATTCAGGGAACCCCTGCTAAAATAATTTTGTATACAAAATTGTGGAACGTAGAACACACCACGATGGAGGTTAATGAGAGGTGGTCAGTGGGAAGAATGTTTCTTACATTGGTGGGAAGAATGTTCCTTACATTGGTGTCGTGGGAAGGTTTTCTTACATTGGTGGTCGGTGGGAAGAATGTTCCTTACATTGGTGGTCGGTGGGAATAATGTCCCTTACATTGGTGATCAGTGGGAAGAATGTCCCTTACATTGGTGGTCAGTGGAAGAAGAATGCTCCTTACATTGGTGATCAGTGGGAAGAATGTCCCTTACATTGGTGGTCAGTGGGAAGAATGTCCCTTACATTGGGGGGTCAGTCAGGGAAGAATGTCCCTTACATTGGTGGTCAGTGGGAAGAATGCTCCTTACATTGGGGGGTCTGTGGGAAGAATGTCCCTTACATTGGAGGTCAGTAGGAAGAATGCTCCTTACATTGGTGATCAGTGGGAAGAATGTCCCTTACATTGGTGGTCGGTGGGAAGAATGCTCCTTACATTGGTGATCAGTGGGAAGAATGCCCCTTACATTGGTGGTCAGTGGGAAGAATGTCCTTACATTGGTGTGATCAGTGGGAAGAATGTCCCTTACATTGGTGATCAGTGGGGAAGAATGTCCCTTACATTGGTGGTCAGTGGGAAGAATGCTCCTTACATTGGGGGTCTGTGGGAAGAATGTCCTTACAGGTTGGAGGTCAGTAGGAAGAATGCTCCTTACATTGGAGGTCAGTAGGAAGAATGTTCCTTACATTGGTGGTCAGTGGGCAGAATGCTCCCTTACATTGGTGGTCATTGGGAAGAATGCTCCTTACATTGGAGGTCATTGGAAGAATGCTCCTTACATTGGTGGTCAGTGGGAAGAATGCTCCTTACATTGGGGGTCAGTGGGAACAATGTCCTCCTTTTGGAATCTGCTAACATTGATAATTGATGCCAGTGCTTATATAACTATCTAAAGAGAGGAGGAGCTCCACTGGCCCCATACCGTTGACTGTTCCAAGTGGAAGTGGTGCCAGAACTACGCAGACACCATCTGGTGGAAGTTTAATCCACCACTGCTCAGGGAACCCCTACCCATCTCTGTAGGAACCCTAAAGTTCCCTGGGAACCTGGTTGAGAAAAGGCTGTCTTAAACTGTATGTTAGTGGAAAAATACCCCCTTACATTGATGGTCATTGTAGGCAGGGCTGCTGCTAGAGACCACGGGATCTCATACTGCCAACCTGACCCCCCCCCCCCCCCCCCCAAAAAAAAACAGTTTACTGTACTTCAGTTATGTATGAACACAGTGAGTGACCAGTACCAATCACTAATTGTGTTCATTCAGGAAAGGAAAGGGCTGGTAAATTAACATGTTTTCTGGACCCTTGACCCCACTCTCCATCCTGAAGGATTCTATTGTGTGCTTGCAGTTGCCAGTGGGAACGGAGAGGAGGGAAGCTGGCAGCACTGTAGGGATAGGGACACACAGGGGGCCTGGACAGCAGGGGGAAACATATGGTGCATAGGGAGGGTAATTGGTGCAGCAGTGGAGAAATTACTGGAACCGATCCCCTGTATGGCTCTCTCTGCAGCAGCTGAAAGGCAGCAGGAGGAAGAGGAGAAGAAGCCAGCTTTCAGTTGCTGTATAGAGAACCATACAGGGGATCGGTTCCAGTAATTGCCCCCCACTGTGCCGATCCCCCTCCCTGCCCACATGCAATTTACCAGGCTGCCTGGGCCCTGCACAGGAGGACTGGTGGTACCCCCTTATCCAGGGCCCTCATTGTAGGTAGAAGACAAGTTGGCAACAGCTCAAGGGACCCCTAGCAATCTCTAGAGGAGAAGAAGCCAGCTTTCAGTTGCTGCAGAGAGAACTATACAGGGGTTGGGTTCCAGTAATTGCCCCCCACTGTGCCGATCCCCCTCCCTGCCCACATGCAATTTACCAGGCTGCCTGGGCTCTTCACAGGAGGACTGGTGGTACCTCCTTATCCATGGCCCTCATTGTAGGTGGGAGACAAGTTGGCCACAGCTCAAGGAACCCCTAGCAACCTCTGGAGGAACCCTAGGATTCCACAGAACCTGGTTAGATAATATACTCACCTTTCCCCTTCCATGGTGCAGATAGTGACGTCATCCTCCTTCCAGCCAAATCTCCGAAAAGTTTGAGCAGCGCAAATCTCACGAGAAGAAGCTGCAGCACAGAGCAGGGTCATCTTCTGACATTTGAGCTACACAAACTTCTGATCTCTGATCAGGAGGAGGATGAGGTCACCCCCCACAATGTCGCAGGAGGAGGATGAGGTCACCCCACCTGCAATGGCTCAGGAGGAGGTCAGGGAAAGGTAAGTAATATTTCTCAGCCTGTGCAGGGAGTGAGGGTTGGTGGGGCCCGTAGGTGGAAAGCCTGGAAGTCACATCCACACCAAGCCAACTGTATCTCGTCTTGTATTTGCAGACTGGTGATTGGCTGGTTCAGCCATTTTCACAGGAAGAGAAAACGTCTCCACCCCATCATGGTGCAGCAGATTGAGCCCCGAGCAGTCAGGTAATGAATACAGGTCATGCGCAGCAACCATCTTGTCATGAACCAATCTGGTCACCCTAGGTATTACTCTCATTGTTTAGGTTGAGATGCTGTACGGGCGATGCAGACTGTTCCATTTCAAGTGCTTTTATGAACAAATCCTCTGAAAAGTGAACAAAATGGGGTAAAAATGCCTCTAAAGGGTGAACCCGATATGTAGTGATGAAAAAAATCCTTTAGTGATTAACTATTAAAAAAAAATAAAATAAAATTCACCCCCTGCTGTGCAATGCATCAAACACATGTACAGGTGTGCTCAAAAGTTTGCATACCCTGGCAGAAATTGTGAAATTTTTGGCATTGATATTGAAAATATGACTGATCATGCCAAAAAAATGTTTTTCTTTGAATCCCAGACAGTTCTTCACAGTTGTGGCTGCAATCTTTCTCGGTCTACCTGACCTTGGCTTGGTATCAAGAGATCCCCGAACTTTCCACTTCTTAATAGGTGATTTAACAGTACTGATTGGCATGATGAACAAAAGCAGACGAGGGCGCACTCTCATCGTGCATTACCGTGGTGCACCATGTGTTTATTATGTAATCAAAAAGATATATACTCACAGACCAAAGGAGAATAAAAGCTGAATTAGTAGTCTGCAATGGCAGTCAATACAATGCTGTGCCCTAATTAGGGATAAGCTGACGTGTTTCGGGAGACGAACCCCCTTCTTCAGATCCTTGATTGGCATATTCAAGGCTTTGGACATCTTTTTATGTCCTTTTCCATCTTTATAAAGTTCCATTACCTTGTTACGCAGGACTTTTGAAAGTTCTTTTCTGATCCCCATGGCTCAGTATCTAGCCTAGTCAGTGCTTCCATGTAAGAGCTAACAAACTCATTGACTATTTATACACTGAGACTAATCGTAATTAAAAAAGCCACAGATGTGGGACATTAACCTTTAATTGTAATTTTAACCCATATGTGTCTCCTTGTGTGTCTGTACGAAGGCCAAACATTTCAGGGGGTGGAGACTTCTGATCCGGGGGCGGAGACTTCTGATCCGGGCCATTTGGGTGATTTCTGTTATCATTAGATTTAAAAAGGAGCCAAACAACTATTTGATAATAAATGGCTTCATATGATCATCATCCTTCAATAAAAGAGCATTTTTTGGCAGATCAGTCATATTTGCAATATCAATGCCAAAATTTCACAATTTCTGCCAGGAGATGCAAATTTTTGCAGGTGTCTGAAGGCAGGCCTGGAACCGACTCCAAAATGTCGCTGGCTCGGATGAGCTTGTAGATAGTCTTTGGCTTCCACAAGTCAGGCTTGACTCCCTGCAGCCCTTGCTCCCTGATGAACTTGAAGGTGTCCAAGTAGTACCAAGGAGTGTCCCAGTTGTAGGGGATGGAACTATCCCAAGTGTCCCACCCCAGGGACCTCCAGAGAGGCAAACAGGAAGAAGCGAGACATTGCGTTCCCCCGCCAGAGTCCATAATCCGTCTTGGCAAAGTTCTGCGGATGCAGTTGCAAGCAAAGAACACCCTCAGCTGGTGGTGGCGATGTCGGGCACGCCCTTACCGCCCTTGAGGGGTTCCTTGAACATGACTGCCCGCTTCACTCTGTCCATCTTGGAGCCCCAGATGAAGTGAAACACCGCCCTGGTGATGGCCTTGCAGGTGTTGACCCACTTACAAACAAATTTTTTTAAGTCCGCAAACGTGCAACTATAACGTAAAAACCCGTAAGTGTCCGCAAAAAGTGTGCAAGTGCAAGAACACACACACGAAAAACGTGCACTTAGGGGTGTGTTTGTCCTACCCCCCGAAAGGGTTGGACCGTTTCCCGATCCCCCGGGGCACGAAGCTCCTGACAGGGACAAGGTTCCCATTTGGTCCTCCTGGCCAAAAGGCCTGGTGGACCACCGTTCCCTTATGCCCAGCCGAAGCCGGACATCCAGTACTAGGCAAGGGGGTTCTCCCGAAGAGAAAACCCCCTAGGGATCAGGGGAGGAAGGAACCGTATGGCCACACATCCTCCCCCTAGACTTCAGGTAAGGCCCGAGGACCCACACCCTCCATCCGTGAAAAACACACACATAAGAACAGAAAAAGTGACAAAACGTGGGAGTGGTTTAAATAAATAGAATAAAATAAAAAGTGGTACCGTGCCTAATAGTGCACAGACCAGGCCCTGAGGCCTGTAGCAAAAATTGCCCCTGGACTTAGCCCAAAAGACCTGGTCCTTAGGGCGCTGTGCAAAAAGAAGTGAAAAACAGTGGCCATGTGTCATCTTCACACCGTGGGGTCCCACACCCAAGTGTTACTAGTGACACCCCTGAGAGCGTCTTCCCCTGGGGGCACTGAGTTTGCGGACTTTTTGCGTCCCCAGCCCCAGGCCAGACCAAGGTAGCACGTTCAAATCAGGAGGTACTGGGTCTTTCCATGGTCTCCCCAGACAATTAACTCCCAAGGCCCCAGAACGAATCATGGCGCTCCCTGGTTTCTGTCCCTCCGGTACTAGCCTTCCGGCCCCATCATACCAGTGAGGGTACTATACAACAACCATCCCCGTAAACTAGAATGGTCGGGAGCCCCCCACTGGACACTGATAAGAACAGATACTACACTTGATCTTAGCCAAAAGGCCGAGAAGCGGCTTGGAAAAACGGCATGTAAAGCTACATTTCCAAAAATCCCCGGCAGTGCATGCATATGCGTAATGACGTCATAGCTTCTGGCTCCACCCAGTGTGTTTCAAAATAAATGTGAAAGGTAAAGATTTAAATAGATTAACCCCCCCAAAAAATTACTGTTCTGATGTTTACCTTTCACGTTTGTTGTGAAACGCATTGGGCGGAGCCAGAATCTGTGACGTCATTACGCATATGCTGTGCAATGCATCAAACACATGTAAATGTATAGAGCAGCCAGTACAAAGTGTAGGATACACCATACAGTACATCATTTAAATGCAACAAGTGATCAGTGATGAAACAATATAAATTTTAAATTCAGTAGCAAAAATTCTTTTGTAAAGGAAATACAATAGAATGACAGTTCTCTGAAGAGTCGAAAAAATATATAAAATATAAAAAAATTTTAAAAAACACAAATGATATAAAACAATCACAAAGGATCCTGTTCTTAGCCACATTTAAAAAGAATAACACCCAAAAAATGACTGTTCTGATGAGGATAAGAACGGGATCCTTTGTGATTGTTTTATATCATTTTTGTTTTTTTTTATTTTTTTTAATATTTTAGATATTTCACTTTTCAGAGGACTGTCATTCTATTGGGTTTACTTTACAGAGGACCTTTGTTTTATATCATTTGTGTTGTTTACATTTTTTTTTTTTTTTTTTACTATTTTATATATTTTTTCCACTTTTCAGAGGACTGTCTTTCTATTGCATTTCCTTTAACAAGGATTTTTTGCTACTGAATTTCATATTTATGATTTATATTGTTTCATCGATCACTCATTATTGATAATGTTGCATTTAATTGATGTACTGTATGGTGTATCCTACACTTTGTGCTGGCTGCTCTATACATTTACATGTTTTTGATGCATTGCACAGCATATGTGTAATGACGTCACAGCTTCTGGCTCCGCCCAATGTGTTTTGTCATAAATATGAAAGGTAAATATCGGAGTAGTCATTTTTTGGGTGTTATTCTTTTTAAATGAGGATAAGAACAGAATCCTTTGTGATTGTTATATATCATTTGTGTTTTGTTTGTTTTTTTTTTAATTATTATTTTACATATTTGTTACACTCTTCAGAGGACTGTCATTCTATTGGATTTCCTTTACAGAGGACCTTTTGCTGCTGAATTTCATATCTACCAATAATGATCAGTGATCAGTGAAGAAACAATATAAATCTTAATGTTGCATTTAATGTATGTACTGTATGGTGTATCCTACACTTTGTACTGGCTGCTCTATACATTTACATGCGTTTGGCGCATTGCACAGCATAGGCGTAATGACGTCACAGCTTCTGGCTCCGCCCAATGCGTTTCACAATAAATGTGAAAGGCAAACATCAGAACAGTCATTTTTTGGGGTGTTATCTTTTTAAATGTTTACCTTTCACATTTATTGTGGAACACACTGGGTGGAGCCAGAAGCTGTGACGTCATCACGCATACGATACATTGCACAACGGGGTGTGAATTGTAATTTTATATATTATTTTTATTGTATTGTAATTATTATATTTTTTTTATAGTTAATCCAGTGACTCAAAAAAGGTATATAATGAAAACAGAACGGATGTCATTAGTGGGTTGATGAGGTGGGGGGGAGGGGTGCAGTAAGGCACAATATGAGCAGAATAAAGTCGCTTTATTAAAGCCAACAATTTTTTTTTTTCTTTGCCATACAACTGTAGCCTTTTGTCCAAATGGACATCTTTATTGGAGGATCTGCAGGCGGCCATGCTCAAGATATTTCCGCTGGTCACAGTGGAGGAATGGCTGGAAGAGAACGCCTTGCCACATTACCAGCAGCTTCAGGAACTAGTGGAAGATCTGAAATCCGCCATGGATGCCGGGTGCAATACTGCGCAATAATGGATCCGGGACAAGTCTTCCTCCGAACTCCGTCCATACATATAAAGTGAACGAAAAGCAATCTATATTTTATTTAATATATCTTTGTGAATGTGATCTTAAATGTATATGACACAATCTTATCGAATGTTGTTAAATAGAGTTTTTGTTGCTGTCTGTGCCCCCATGAAGGAGATTCTCCCTCTCTATGAGTCCTGTTGACTGTGATCACCGAGAGTGAAAGTAAAAGAAAATCCCACTTTGGAGAGATTTTCCTCTCACTTCCTGTTTTGGCTATGGGACAGGAAGTGAAAGGAAATCTCCCCAATGGGGACACAGAAGGCAAAAAAAAAAAAACCTGGCAGGGGTTATAACCTTCCTATACTCTATCCAAAGTGGAAACAAATTGTCTTTAGTTCTACTTTAATGTTTAAAAGAAAAGCTTGTTTCTATATATTGTTTGTAAATATACACGAGTATAAAATGTCATTATTGACTTGTTCTGCACACAGGCTATGCTTAGTAATGTGGCGCAGTGATTGTCTTTTACTGTTCCTTTTTCGCAGTGCCAATCTATGCTGCAAAGAGGTCTATTATTCTGTATTGTCAATGAATGCCAATAAGTGCAATGATCGCTGGCCCCCAAAAGGATGTCCACGGGGCCTCGCTACCCTTTAAAGCCTACATTTAGATTTCCTATGACTCTAAAATGATATTAAAATGTTACTAAACCTGCAACAGTACAATCAGTCTGTAGATGCAGTAAAGCATGCTTGTTATACTCACTGTGGAACCTAAGGGGTTAATCCTGTGCATTGTGTAAAAAGGCTCCTTGATCCTGTCTTCTCTGATCCTCCCCTTCTTCTACTGATAGAACAAAGCTTTTGCAGCAAGCTGCCTATGCTCTGTTTGGTGTGTATTGCTAGAATTTTATTTATTTTTTTCTTGGGAGAGTGCATGTGATCAGCACAGGGCCAATCACCGCTGTCCAGACAGAGGGTCAGGGGTCCTGCAGTCTCAGGACAATCAGGGGAGAATGAAAACTCCTACAAACTTTAATCAGTGCTCAGCTGAACACTGATAGAAGTCACATGACTGCTATATACTAATGATGAGAAAAGGTATTTAGCAGTTTATATTTACTAAAATAATTGCATTTCCATGTTCTGTGTAAGACCAGATATAGGGAATGCGGGGTCCGGGGAGAGCGGATATAGTGAATGCGGGGTCTGGGGAGAGCGGATATAGTAAATGCGGGGTCCGGGGAGAGCGGATATAGTGAATGCGGCGTCCTGGGGGACCGGATATAGGGAATGCGGGGTCCGGGGGAGAGCGGATATAGTGAATGCGGGGTCCGGGGAGAGCGGATATAGTGAATGCGGCGTCCTGGGGGACCGGATATAGGGAATGCGGGGTCCGGGGGAGAGCGGATATAGTGAATGCGGCGTCCTGGGGGACCGGATATAGTGAATGCGGCGTCCTGGGGGACCGGATATAGGGAATGCGGGGTCCGGGGAGAGCGGATATAGTGAATGCGGGGTCCGGGGAGAGCGGATATATAGTGAATGCGGGGTCCGGGGGGACCGGATATAGTGAATGCGGGGTCCGGGGGGGACCGGATATAGGGAATGCGGCGTCCGGGGGACCGGATATAGGGAATGCGGCGTCCGGGGGGACCGGATATAGGGAATGCGGCGTCCGGGGGGACCGGATATAGGGAATGCGGGGTCCGGGGAGACCGGATATAGTGAATGCGGGGTCCGGGGAGAGCCGATATAGTGAATGCGGGGTCCGGGGAGACCGGATATAGTGAATGCGGGGTCCAGAGAAAGTGGATATAGTGAATGCAGGGTCCGGGGTTTAGTGACGCTTTAAATGTGACAGGTCAGAGCTGCCTCATGTACGGGTGCAAGTCTGACCTTCGGCCATCCATAGATCCATCACGATTCCACTATTAAAATGTGAACAAGTACGGATGTCACACATGACATCTATCCCATTCAGCAGGAAATCCATACAGGGGTCCCCCCCCATGAATGGAACGTACACGGCTGTGTGAAAGTGTTCTAATCGGGAGAAGTTTTGTTTGTTAAAGTTTTGAGTTATAAACAATGACTTCCTTTTTTATTTATTTCAAAAAGTCAGTTTTTCTCCTCTTTTCTTATTTTTTCCCCCATTTCAGTGCTTCTGATCTCCTTCAGCCACTTCTTGTCTCCAATCACACAGCGCTGGCTGTACTTTATTGTTTTGGACCGGCTCCCTGGTAGCGACAGCAATTTTACCCTTCACTGGAAGCCCATGTCACAGGGTGACAACATAAGAGCTCAATATGAGTGTTGTCACCTTGTAACAGGAAGTGTCTGCACAAGAACCTTCAGAGGATGATCAGTAGGTATTGTACTAAAAGCTGCAGATTCAAAATGGATTTTTCATTGGCTTTAAAATGGTAAGGATTAGAAGAAATTTTAGTGATCGGGTTCATGTACAATTAAAAGTAGATTCATTTTTGATAGGCTCATCGCCCAGAACAGGGGTCTGCAAGCTGCAGCCCGGGGCCAGATGGCCCTTGGGGCACTATTCCTCCCACTGAGACCAACAATGGGGCAGTACTTCTTCCATTGAAACCAATGATGAAGCACTATTCTTCACGCCAATACCAATGATGTGGCACTATTCCTCCCACTGACACCAATGATGAGGTACTATTACTTCCACTGACACCAATGATGGGGCACAATATGAGGCACTATTACTCCCACTGACACCAATGATGAGGCACTATTACTCCCACTGACACCAATGATGAGGCACTATTCCTCCCACTGACACCAATGATGGGGCACTATTCCTCCCACTGACACCAATGATGGGGCACTATTCCTCCCACTGACACCATGATGGGCACTATTCCTCCCACTGACACCAATGATGGGCACTATTCCTCCCACTGACACCAATGATGAGGCGCTATTCCTCCCACTGACACCAATGATGGGGCGCTATTCCTCCCACTGACACATGATGGGGACGCTATTCCTCCCACTGACACCAATGATGGGGCGCTATTCCTCCCACTGACACCAATGATGAGGCGCTATTCCTCCCACTGACACCAATGATGGGGCGCTATTCCTCCCACTGACACCAATGATGGGGCGCTATTCCTCCCACTGACACCAATGATGGGGCGCGCTATTCCTCCCACTGACACCAATGATGGGCGCTATTCCTCCCACTGACACCAATGATGGGGCGCTATTCCTCCCACTGACACCAATGATGGGGCGCTATTCCTCCCACTGACACCAATGATGGGGCGCTATTCCTCCCACTGACACCAATGATGGGGCGCTATTCCTCCCACTGACACCAATGATGGAGCACTATTCCTCCCACTGACACCAAAGATGGGGCACTATTCCTCCCACTGACACCAATGATGGGGCACCATTCCTCCCACTGACACCAATGATGGGGCACTACTTCTACTGACCATCAACCCTGCAGCCATGTTTATTCTCACTGATGCTGAGGCCAGGACATTTTCTATCCTCACTGTTCCTAATCCGACCCTCCTACAGTCTGAAGGACAGTATACTGGCCCTTTGAAAAGTTTGGAGACCTCTGGCTTAGAACACAAACCCCCCGAGATCCCGAATAAAAGTCGTCTGCCGCTCATCAGGATCATTATCTCATAATACTTTATTTGCAGTATAAAAACAAACAAACAATCACACACTGGCTGCATAGTTTCAAGTAATACAAAATGAAGACGTGTTATTAAAGGGTAAGCGCTCTCCAAAACAAAGTGCAATAATCCTTCTTGCCCTAACCCACCCTCCCCCATATGGGGGCCTAGATCTGACGGCCGTGGTTGTGTCGTTTGTTTACATCGAGCAGCACAAGTCTTCACTGTCCTGGCCACACCTATGCATTGCAGCCCTATAGACGTCCTTGGGATCTTCTCTGATCATCTGTGGCCTTTGGGACAAAACTCTGTAGAAGTCTGTGTGCTTGTTTATACAGCTGAAGAGCAATCTGCAGTGGATTGCTTTTCAGAGGGCAATTGCCAGGCTGCGAGAAGGTGTTATGCCCCCACTTAACTGCCTGTTTTAATCCCTAAAATCCACAACTACATGTATTGCACACAGTTGCGGCATGGCCACATTCACGTGAAGTGGTACTGCCAGCCAAATGCAACAGTTGGAATAATTTTTGGCGCGCATGCGTATATCCCTGTACGGCTGCCTTTGACGCTTGCAGGGAGTGCTAAAAATGTGGCTCAACCATGTGTTTTTAACTCTTCCCCAACTGCAAGTGTAAATTTAAGCCAGCCATAGATGGGCAGCACAGTGGCTAAATGGTTAGCACTTCCGCCTGGCAGCACTCGGGTTATTGGTTCGAATCCCAACCACGGCACCACCTGCCTGGAGTTTGCATGTACTTCCTGTGTCTGCGTGGGTTTCCTCCAGGTACTCCGGTTTCCTCCCACACTCCAAAGACATGCTGGTAGGTGAATTGGATCCTGTCTAAATTGTCCCTAGTATGTGTATGTATGAATGTGAGTTATGGACCTTAGATTGTACACCCCTTGAGGGTTAGGGACCTTAGATTGTACACCCCTTGAGGGTTAGGGACCTTAGATTGTACACCCCTTGAGGGTTAGGGACTGATGTGAATGTACAATATATATGTAAAGCGCGGCGTAAATTGATGGCGCTATATAAGTACCTGAAATAAATAATAGATTGATCAAATCTCAGCCGGTTCAGTAAAAAAAAAAAAACAGGTGAGATTCAATCCATCTATGGCCAGGCTGATTGTAGCATTGTTGATCCATCGATCGACTGCAGCACAACGAGCCTGTCAGATTTTTTTTTAATGCGATCACTGCCAGCGGCTATAACCGCCAGCAGTGATCGCTGTGTTCTGCTGTCCAGAAAGGCTCCCCGCCCGGCAGAACACAATAGCACTGCGGGAGGCATTCCCCCATCAACACTGACTGTTGTTGGGGGAAATCGACCAGTTTTCTTCCCTTGCACCCATGGTAGAAGGATCGAAAACTGTACCCCCCTATGGCCTGCCTATGAGTAAGTTATGTAGAAGTGTGGCCCAGACAATGAAGGCTTTTGGTGCTGGAGTGACGGCCGCCACATTGAGGGAAGTACGAATCTGTAGAGGAAAAGTAAGTGGGGGGGGGGGGGTAAAAAAAAGAACAAGCGCACTTTCTCATGAAGAACATGTACCCTTTCATCATAAATTATACATAAAAACAAATTCCTACCAGTAATACTCTCCAGATCGTGGCCAGCAGCCCAGAACCCCTGTGTATGTTTGTAACAAGCACAATGAGTGCCATACTGATTAAACCTGATTTTCATAAACGCCGAGTCACGGATGTCTTGCTTTTGTGTTTTCTTCTTTTTATCACTCCCAGGCAGTGGAGTTGTGTGAGAACACGGTAACTTGTAACAATCAATGCCAGATTAGTAATATCTGAGTCCTGGGGCTCTGGATAGTTACTCATCTGTTCTTTGCTGTACTGTAGAACCCATTGGGGGGGGGGGGGGGTATTTACTAAACCTGGAGGGTGCAAAATCTGGTGCAGCTCTGCATGGAAACCAATCAGCTTCCAGGTTTTATTATCAAAGCTTAACCCCTTGCTGCCGCCGGCTCCCGGCCCTTTAAGGGTTTTAGGCAGGGCGGGGTTTTAGTGTCATGTGACCGCCATGATTCGCTGTCACAGCGGTCACATGATTGGGAAAGGTCCCGATCGAAAGAGGAGATCGGGACCTCTCCGTGAGTACCGGACATGTGCACTAGGAGCGCGCAGGGCATCTGTTTTTCTAATTGCGCGCAAATGTGCGGCTGCTTGGCGTCAAGGCCCAGACGCCGGGAGGCCGCACATTTGCGTGTGGCCGGCGCCAAGAGGTTAAAGCGATACTAAAGATTCAGTTTTTTGTATTAACAAACATGTTATACTTACCTGCTGTGTGCAGTGGTTTTGCACAGAGCAGCCCCGATCCTCTTCTTGGGTCTCCCACTGGTGCTCCTGGTTCCTCTATCTGTCGGGTGCCCCCATGCATAGCAAGCAGCTTGCTATGGGGCAGTGGCATCCCTAGGGGGGTGCACCATCACAGGGGGTGCAGGATGCAGGTACAGGGACAGCTGCCCCCGCCCCAGTGTAGTGGTAAAATGAGTATCCCCTGCAGCAACTGCGCATGTGTCGGTTTCAGGCCGAAGAAGCCGATCGCCGGCTCTGTGCTAAAGTCGGAGATCGGCTTCTTCGACCTGAAACCGGCACATTCGCACTTGCTTCAGGGGATGCATATCTTCACGGGATACTCCTTTTACCGCTACTCCGGCACCACTCTCTGGAGGGGTGACACCACGTGTTACCGCACCAGGTGACACCAACCCTAGGGACGCCTCTGCTATGGGGGCACCCGAGCATGCACGCTCCCGAGCCGCTGCTCCATCTCTTCTTCATTCACACATGGAGCTCAGACTAGGAGAAGCAGAAGCAGCACAAGGACCAACCAGCTATGCTGCAGTGCTCACAAGGATATTGTTGATAGCAGGAGAGAGCGGAGTGAAAGAGATGAGCTCATTTGTCTGTTTCTCCTTTTACTGCCCAGTCATAGGCTGGGAGGGAGGGACCAGACCTGTATGAGTTGCCGAAAAGCAGCAAAGAAAAGTCAGATCACCTGTGCTGACAGAAAGGACTGTGCAATGTGGCAGAGCAGTGTAAATCTCCAGATTGGATGGACGGTAGTACAGATCCTTTGTCAGGTAAAACATTTAAAAATGGTCTGGCTTCCCGCTGTCGGCATTAGGGAAGGAGGGGGTGGGAAGGTTATACTTTTTACAATGAGAGTAGAGCTTTGATATGTCCCTATAGCTCCCAGCAGGACATGCGATGGGCAGAGGAAATTCTTGCATTTAATGCATTGTCTTATAGCATCTCTACTACAATCCTGAATACATACATTACATTTCCTGCCTGCCATCCTCCAGTATAAACGTTGATTCCCAATGTCCTGCCATACACTCCAATAGACTCCTCTGCTAGAGCAAGGCTACATGTACACTGAACCTGCCATAGATGTTCAACTCTACTGGCAGCAGAAAAATGCTAAACGCGTCAAAAAAACGTGTAAATGCACTACTGCATTTATTATTTCATTGACCAGAGTGCTTGCCATTGAAATAAACGCCAAAGCACAAAACGCATACTCTATAAAAGTAACTTGTCATGGTGGCCAATATAGACTATATTGGCCAAATGTTTGTAGACACCAGACCATCACACCTACACTCACCGGCCACTTTACTAGGTCCACCCGTTCAATTGTTTGGTAACACAAATCGCTTAATCAGCCAATCACATGGGAGCATCTCAATGCATTTAGGCATCTAGACGTGGTGAAGACGACTTGCTAAAGTTCAAACCGAGCATCAGAAAGGGGATTTGAGTGACTTTGAATGTGGCATGGTTGTTAGTGCCAGACAGGCTGGTCTGAGTATTTCAAAAATTGCTGATCTACTGGGATTTTCATGCACAACCATCTCTAGGGTTTACGGAGAATGGTCAGAAAAAGAGAAAATATCTAGTGAGCGGCAGTTGTGTAGATGAAAAATTCCTTGCTGATGGTCAGAGAATGGGCAGGCTGGTTCCAGATGATGGAACGCCAACAGTAGCTCATGTCAATATGGACCAAAATCTCTGAGGAATGTTTCTAACACCTTCTATGCCACAAAGTTAAGGCAGTTCTGAAGGCAAAAGGGGGTCCGACCCGGTACTAGCAAGGCATACCTAATAAAGTGGATGGTGAGTGTATATGAGCTTGTTGCACATTCCATTTCAAAACCTTGGTCATTAATATGGAGTTGGGCCCCCTCATGAAGTTATAACACCCTTCATTCTTCTGGGAAGGCTTTCCACAAGAATTGGAGAGTGTCTGTAGGAATTTGTGCCCATTTGTGAGGTAAGATACTGATATTGGATGAGAAGCCCTGACCCACCATTGGCTTTACAATTCAGCCCAAAGGTGTTTGGTAGTAATTGAGGTCAAGTACTGATGTAGGAGCAGAAGACTTGGATCACCATCAGCATTCTGGGTCTTCCCAGAGATGTTCATTAGGGTTGAGGTCAGGGCTCTGAGCAGGACACTCAAGTTCCAACCCATCAAACTGCTGAAACCATGTTCTTATGGAGCTGGCTATATACACGGGACAGTCAAGGTGGAACAGAAAAGGATCTTCACCACAAGGTTGAAAGACCACCATTGTCTATAATGTTTGTTTGATATAGTCTTACCAGTAAACTTCACTGGAAACACCTGAACTCTATCGTTTGAAGGGGTGTCTACATTACAGACCATATAATGTAGGTGTGATGGTCAAGTATCCAAAACCCTTTGGTCACATATTGTAGCCAAGACTCTTTGATAGCTACTCTGACAAGTCCCCTGAAATATTTCTGGACAACGAATACTTTAGGATTCATTTCATCATAATGTACCGTTATAAAAGCTCATAATATAGTTAAGACAAATAAATATTTTGACGGTAAGAAGATAAGTTTTGTGCTCTTACAGTAATACAATCTAAATGAAAGAGAGACAAAAAATTGAAGGCCGTATCATAGGACTATATATGCAGTGGCCAACCAAAAAGCAGAGAGAACAAGGCCAGCCCTCCCATGAGTTAGTGTGCATGCTTATTGGTCTATAGTAACCCTTTATACCTCTACAGTAGTAAAAGCTGCATTTTATACCAAAGTAATTTCTTAGTACCAAGGACAGTAAACTTCAATGTAGGGTTGCTTCCCAGTCTTGGATGCCATGCTCTGACATAACAGCCAAGGCGAAAAAAAAGATAGTTGCAATATTTCATCATTTCTTATCTGTTATAAATACCTGGCGTTATATAGGTTTTTGTTATAATGGTGTGCAAAGCCAAGGCATCAAGGCCACGCAACTAATGTCTTATACCTAGACATCATCACATGAAGAACTGAGAAATTAAACTTGGAATATCCATTATCAGTGAACTCTGGTGGAAGATATTTAGTTGGCCCCATAGTATAGCTCCACACAACCAGATTTCGGAGTATTTTTCAAGTTCTATAAGAGGTAACACTAATCCACATGTCGATTTGGTATGCATCTTCTAAAAATATTTGGAATCAAGAGAACCAAGGCACGTCCATCAAAGGCACAGGCATTAAAGCAAAAAAATAGTGCAAGAATAACTGGAAACAAACAAGTTAAGTAGCTTGATGGACCTCAAAGCTTAAGGATGGTGTCACTGCAAGAAAATTCATATACCATGAGCTACGATGTCATCAGGAGGAAGAGATATCTGGACAGTAGGGTGTATTTCATTGTTGCCATAGACATTATCTCAGATGGCCAAACAGCTCCCATTCCGTACTTTGTTGGGTCGTAGTGTAGGGGACTCATTCATCATCCTTTTCCAAGGTCTCCTCACTGTCGCTGCTCTCCTCTGCTATTCTGGAGCGGAACCCCGCCAAGTCTAGTTCCAGGAAGTTGGTCAGGAGTTTAGCCACAGCTTCCACATCACTAGAACAGAAAGATTTAGATATAAAAGAGGTAGCACCACCTTGTGTCAAGGACAATTTGGAATCATAGGCAAAATTCACAAAGGAATGTTGTATGCGCTCTAGGAGTTTGTTCTGTCTCCGGGAATGCAGGCTGATTAGTGGGAGGGTCCCTCCAGCTACTATTTATAGACGTCGATCACGTCCGTTAAGCCACGCTCCTGACGACGTCAACTGGATGACGAAACGCGTTGGCTGGAGCTTCGGCGTGTGATGTCATCATGTTGTTGTTTTTTAGGGATGGCGGCCATTTTCTTGGTTGGAAACTTAATACAAATGCTGGTAACCCTCCATAAAAATGTCCGAGTAACTTGAAATTAAACAGGGTAAAATTATTACTCAAATACTACACTGAGTGTTTTTTTTCTTCTATCCCTTACCTAAATGTTGGATGAGAGTACTCTTTTAGGACCTACTTCTGATTCTTAAAGGGGAAGATTGAGAATAACCTGGATGAGGACTGCTGATTCCAAAATTCATATTCTCATCTCCTATTGGAGTTGCCTATATTGACCAGTGTTATTCGGCCAGAAGTTCTGGTAAGGGTCTGAACTATTCGGGTGTCCTGGTGATGGTGGACCGTGGGAATATTATTGGGACTTTATGAATTGGGACTTTTTATGTTTTATTGGCATTATTGCGTTTATGATTAATGCTGCACTTTTTTGTATTTTGTAAACTCACAAAGGATCTTTAATTTTCAGGTTTGCGACTGCAGTTTTCAAATCTCATTGCATTGAGCTGAAAATAACTGTCACTTTTTTGGGAAATAAGGAACTTTTTCTCAGTGTTTTAGCTTTATAAATTGAGCCTCATGTTGCTTACTTACCTACGTCCTCCCAGTACTGCACTCTGGGTAAGCGGGTGGGATATTCCCGTCAAGAGACGCAAGACGATAAGGTAGCCCTTTCCAAAGTATTTCACTTTCTCCTCTTCAACGCTGATGTCTCTTATCTCGCTGAGGAGCACCACCGCTGCAAAACAAACAACAGTGACCTTTGCCATCAAAGCAGTCCATCACGAATGATAATTTACAAAACACTATCCATCGGCGATCCCAAATTTCACCCGATCCGCAACGCCAAACCGAAAGCACCTACCTTGCTCCTGGCCTCCTTTACACATAGTCAGCAATTTCTTGTACAAGCTGAATGATTTTAAGATGGCCTTCCCTTCCCGCTTGTCAAATATGACTTCCTTTGAAATAAAGGAGAAAAGAAAAATGACTGAAGAAGAACCCATTAGGAAAATGGGAAGCTGCAAGTTCCTAAGTTACATTAAAGCGGAGCTCCACCCAAAAGGGGAAGTTCTGCTTTAAGCCTTTGTCCCCAAGGGATTGGCGCCTTTGAAGAGCGGGTACCCGAATTTGACAGGTACCCGCTCCTACTTCCTAGGTGATCAGAAGCGGAAGTTGTCCTCCTACCTTCCCTCCCCATAGTCTTCTGGGACACATGACAGGTCCCAGAAGACTACAGGGCCATTCACAAAGCGCAGCGCTTCTTACGCATGCGCAGTGGGCACCCGGCTGTGAAGCCGCAAGCTGTCACAGCCGGGTGCCCACACTGAAGATGCCGGCGCGAGGGAGAGAAGACGGCCGGTGAAACCAGCCGTGGTGAGGACACCGCTGGACAGAGGGACAGGTAAGTGGCTGTATTTTATAAGTCAGCAGCTACAGTTTTTGTAGCTGCTGACTTTTATTTCATTTTCTAGATGGAACTCCGCTTTGAAAGTCAAAATCATGATGCAAGTTGAAACATAAAACTGTTTAAAGCAAACCTGAAGTTCTCTAACAGTTCCTAACGTGGTGCCATTGTCTAGTTCTGCTTCTAAAGCGACTTGAAAAATGTAAAAAAGAAGTCCCATTCAAAAGAAGATCACTATTTACCAATACCAGTCCAGCAGTCGATGATTTTGGCTCTCTTCAAGAGCTACGGCCACTGAAGAACCTCCACTGTTTGACACACTTTCCATGTGTCAGATGGTCCCCCGCTGTGTCATGTGGTTCCATTCACTAGTCCCTACATCACTGAAGGACGAAGATTCTTTTAATTTTTTTGGGGGGATGATGACAGAGTCATTTTAAAGTGTATGTCAACCCAACATCTATTCTCCAGTATGTCTGGCATCATACTCCAACTACAGTTTCTATGCAAAAGGCATTCACATAGACCTGATAGCACAATGGCTAACTGAAGGCGCTCACAAGTCTGGTAAATGCTGCTGCTGTCAGGATCTGCAGGCAAGAAACCGCAACAAATTCACAGAAAAGTGTAATGACCTCCAGGTTACCTAGGTAGTTTTTTGCTAGGCAGAGGCTGAGTAGCAGCCTGGGATGTGTCAGCCTGTGAGTGAGGTAGGGGTTCACCCCAGGGCAGGCTAGGGAGGTTCTGAAGGTCAGAGCTGCTGGAGTCCTCCCACCTCTCCTGAAACCTGACAGCTTTCTGGAGGGGAGGACGCTTGGATTTGCATGCTTAAGGCACCTTGGCCAATACCCTGGCAGGAGGCAAGGTAACCCGTAAGAATCAGAGCCTGGAAGTGGCAGGAGTGTCGGGTAGAAGATGGAGTGAGAGGCTGGAGCCTGGGAGGGGGCCCAGGGAAGGGGCCTACCTACAAGCAGGTGCTGGAGAATAAGATCTCCACCGTACCACCATCTCCAAGGGAGGACAATCCTGAGCAGCAGGGAAGGAGCCAGCCTTGAGTAAGGCCTGAAGGCAGCCACCAACCCATTGAGCTATCAGGAAGGACAGTGTGAGAACTCCTACAACCTCTGGGCTGCATCAGGGGGAGAGGGCAGTCAGGTAGAAAACCCAACTAGCTTCTCATCTGGGGCTGCTGTGCTAAATTGGCAGTTTCTGGGTCTCCTTGCCAAGGAATACCCTCGGTACAGCTGGGTAACGAGGAGGATTCATCCGTGGTCTGAGGGGGTACACCAGAGAGCTGAAATGCTCTATTTTGTCCACATCTCTACATAGTTGCAAAGGAGTTTGTCCTCGTGTTTGCAGTTTTCTTGGGCATCCCATGCACCCTCAACCCCATCCAAGTCATTAACCCCTTAATAAAATCACAAAACCAAGTTCCTGTTTACTGACTCTGAATGCAATGTGTGGAAGAAAATGTGTGTTGCCTGGCTTTACAGAGCTTTAGGGGGACCCAAAATTCAGCAACTCCTAAGGGGGTGGTGCTACAAATGTGTCTGACATCACATCCGGAGACATTTGTATTCCACACACAGGAAACCTGACCAGCACTTCCTCCTATGCCTACTACTGCTGATGCTAGAACAGGGGTCTCCAAACTATCTAAACAAAGGGCCAGTTTACTGTCGAACTTTAGGGGGGCTGTCTAGTGGGAGTAGAAAATGACTTGGTGTCAGTGGGAGTAAACAGTTCCCCATCGTTGGTGTCAGTGGGAGGAATGTTTTGCAATGGCTACTGTGCCATAGGATACAGTGGGTGGTCAGCTTATGGAGATACAGTGCAAATCCAAGTACAGGTGTACCTCGGTTTACAAATTTAATTCGTTCTGCGGGACTTTTTGTAGTGTGAAAAATTTGTAAACCAAAATGCGGTTTCCCACAGAAATGCACTGAAAACCAATTAATACGTTCCGGAGGTCAGAAAAAAAGTCTCATCTGTTCAAAACTCTTTATAAAGTGCACTTTAAAAGCATAAATACTGTACAGGGAAATGATTAAAAAAAATTTGTAAATGCATTGAAAAACCAATTACTCTGTTCCGGAGGTCAGAAAAAAGTAAAAAAAAGTTTAATCTGTTCAAAACACTTTATAAAGTGCACTTTAAAGGCATAAAGGGACATGACTAAAAAAAACAAATTGTAAATGCATTGAAAACCCAATTAATCCATTCCAGGGGTCACAATAAAGTAAAAAAAAGGTTTATCTGTTCAAAACTCTTTATAAAGTGTGCTTTAAAGGTATAAAGGGACATGATTCAAAAAAAAAAAAAAAAATTGTAAATGCACTGAAAACCAATTAATCCGTTACAGAGGTCAGAAAAAGGCTGAAAAAAAAAGTATTTTATCTGTTCAAAACGCTTTATAAAGTGCACTTTAAAGGCATAAATGCTGTACAGGGACATGATTAAAAATTAATTCATAAATGCATAAAAAAACCAGTTGATCTGTTTTGGAATTCAGAAAAAAGTAAAAAAAAAAGTCTTATCTGTTCAAAACTCTTTATAAAGTGCACTTTAAAGGCATAAAAAGATTAAAAAAAAAAAAAAATCGCAAATGCATTGAAAACCCAATTAATCTGTTTCAAAGGTCAGAAAAAAAATCAAAAAAAAGTCTTATCTCTTCAAAATGCTTTATAAAGTGCACTTTAAAGGCATAGTACTGTACAGGGACATGATTAAAAAAAATTTGTAAATGCATTGAAAACCAATGAATTCATTCCGGAGGTCAGAAAAAAGTAAAAAAAAAAGTTTTATCTGTTCACAACTCTTTATAAAGTGCACTTTAAAGGCATAAATACTGTACAGAGACACAATTAAAAAAAATTCATAAATACATTGAAAACCAATTAATAAATTTGTTCTGCAAAAAAAAAAATTGTAAAGCGAACCATTATTTTTCAATTGATTTTCATTCGTAAATCGAAAATTACGTTAACCGAGGCACGCCTGTAAAGATAATGACCAGCTTACTGTTGTGTCTTTCCAAAAAAGTTTTTTCATGGAATGAGCGGCCCCTTTCTTGTGTCCCTGAAACAATGGGTCTTAATGAAATGACAGTTTTTTTTTTTTTTTTCAATTCTGAATGTCATGCGCCTACAAGCTTTACCTGATGGAAGATTGCACTCTTCTACTCAAAATTAGAAAAAAAAAATAGTTTTGGCTCAGAAATCCACTTTGAGTTGAAAGTGCACAAACCATACTTTTACGTTTTGATAGCTAAAACAGACTTACTTCCCAATCTTCTAAATTCTGAATAGCTACAAAGAAACAACCAGCCACATAGAAGAGCTTCCATGCAAAGGAGTCTAGAGCAAAAAGACAAAAAAAAAAAAAAAAAAGATATAAGAAATGAGAATAGTTTCAAAAACAACCACCTCCTCAACGTGTTTCATCCAATCTGGATGTCTTCAGGACGTCCTGAAGACGTCCGGATCAGCTGAAACGCGTCAAGGTGGGACTATTGGACACTGACGTCACTTCCGATGATGCCGTTTTCTTTTCCTGGAGCACATGCTGGTTCTGGTGACTAGGAACAGCAGCAGCTCAGGAGAGACACTGGAGTTCAGTACTTATTTTATGGGATCTTTTATGTTTTAAATAAATGCGTTTTGCAGTGATGTTCTGCTCTGTGGTTCTTCCATTCCTGCACCCAAATGATGTGGTCTGAGTCAGTACAGCGGGGTGACTCTTCCTGCCTAAAAGTGAATGGACCGAGGAATAATGAAATTGTGACCTGTTTTAGCCTCAGAGGTTCAGATCTTTTTTGGGGAGTGCATATCCATGTGGGGTGCCGATCTTCACTGCACAGTTATTGGTGGAGTGAAGTGGCGCCTTTGGTTTTGTTGTGCTCAATACCACATATTGCACTTTCAGCAATTGATTTACTACATTGCTTGCTGACGTCACGCCGCCGCTGCCGAGGAACGGAGCGGCGGCCATCTTGGTATCTTATTTTTGCCTTACTCCACGTGGAATGTTTTTTAACTGCTTGTGAACTATCTATATTATTAATAAATACTACACTATATTAGCATCTCCGTCTCCTGTGGTTGAGCTATCTTTCCCAGGACAAAGGATTCTCGCCCCACTTGCATACGGATGATGCTGTAGGAATAACCCCTAAGCTCAAAAAAGGAAAAGTGCCATCCACTTTGATACGATAACCATATCTAAATAATATCTCCGACTCACTTAGAATAAAAGTGTGGATTATAAACCTAACTAAACTGGAACACAGAAAAAAATGGCAGTTGACTAGTGCAAAACCGCCTAGAAAGTGGTTAATTGAAATCCTTGGATTTCAATTAACCACTTTCTAGGTGGTTTTGCACTAGTCAACTGCCATTTTTTCTGTTAACCCCTAAGCTGCCTCTTTGTTCCTGCACCTCCAGATGTGACAGATTATAACAGATGCCTGCTAATGTTTAATTTCATCCGTCTGAGGTGGTGGATTCCCTTTGTGGATACTTGCACATCTGCACTTTTTTTCACGTGGATGCATTGCAATCAATTTGAGGACTATTATTGTTCGATATTTGCTGATTGATTTATAATTATATATATATTTATAGATTTTAACATAATTTATATATAATTATAATTTATATTAACTAAGAACTGTACTTGAATCACCTCCACCAGATCATCCCCCGCAGCTATCACCTTTTGTATCACCTCCCCCTTCCTTTAGATTGTAAGCTCCAAGAGCCGGGCCCTCCTATTCCTTCTGTACTGAAATGTATTGTAATTGTATTGTCTCCCGTTATATTGGAAAGCGCTGCGCAAACTGTTGGCGCCATAAATCCTGTATAGTAATAATAATAATGATTATATTATGGACATTGATTGATTCACTTATATACACAACCGCACAGATCTGCACTTTATTCTTTTGCATATACTTCTTGATCATTTATTTTGTGAGAATTACCGTATTATTATTTTTATACAGTTGTGTGCGTTTATAGCGCTGCACTTTATTTATACACATTTATATTGGGACTGTTGCCTATACCCTGAAGTGCCAGCAGCTGCCTATATTCATATTTGTTCTCGATTTTACGCTCGCTTATATTCTTGTTATATAAAGTTTATTTATTTGAAGGCGCATGGATGGGTATTTACGCACAGTTTTTTATGAGAGCGTGCTGAACTGCTTTATAAGCACTATACTTCACTTGATATTTTATAGTTGTGTCATTTTTCTCATTTATAATTTCTTCACATGTATTGACTCATTTTTGGTTTTCAAGAAATTGGTATAATATTCGCTATCAGAGAGCGCTGCGACATTTGCATTTATTTTATTTTTTTTTTTTACAATTTGTAGGGGGAGCACATATGGTAGCAGCAGCTGATGTTGCATACACAGTGTAAGCACATAGGGTAGGTATTTGTTTTCATTAAGGGAAGTTTGTAGTCACAAGGGAACTTACCTGTGCTGTAATACGCAGCTGCCAGCCCCACCGAAGAGATCCCTAAAAGATAAGCAGCCGTATTAATACATAATAATGATTCCTACAAATTATTTCAGGGGTCACTTAAAGTCAAATTTAAAGCTGAAATCCAGGTATGGATATTTTTTTTCACATAAGTACATTGTTCCAGAGTGAACCAATGTAACGATGTATACAGTATAAGCAAAATAAATTGTCACAAGTGATCTGATATATTCCTTGGAAAATCGTCAATTAAATCCTAGTGTGCCAATCACGAGAGTGGGAGGCAACACTTTTTGGTGAGTGTACACCTGAGAGGGGAGCACCACACATTTATATATGTATTTATTTTTGCACACGTTTTTTCACGGGGTGATTGTTTTGTGGACTGAATTATTTGGACTTTCTGTTTGGAATATCATCAATTATTAACCACTTCAAGTCCGGACACTTTCCCCTCCTTCCTGTCCAGGCCAATTTTCAGCTTTCAGCACTATCGCACTTTGAATGACAATTGCGTGGTCATGCAATACTGTACCAATGACATTTTTGGCATTTTTTTGACACAGATAAAACTTTATTTTGGTGGTATTTATTCACCACTGGTGTTTTTATTTTTTTTTTGCTATACAAATGAAAAAGTCCAAACATTTTTTTTAAAAAGTGTTTTTTCTTATAAAATTTTGCAAATAAATAATCTTTCTTCATAAATCTTGGCCAAAATGTATTTAGTTATCTTTTTAGTAAAAAAAATAACCCAAATTAGTTTATAACCAAAAATTTTTCAAAAATTTGTTTTTACATTTTAATTTAATTTTTTTACATTATTTTTTTGGGGGTTTTTTTTTTTAACATACTATCACCCTAGCAGTACAGTGTCACCATAGTGACACTGTACTACTTGTGGGGGGTGATGAAGTTTTTTTTTTTGTTTTTTTTTTTTACACTGATTGCTTTTACACCCATAAAGGCTGTAAAATCAATAATTTCTCCTTCTCTCTGGCTGCATTCTTGCAGCCATTGAGAAATACTGTGTGAGCTGTGATTGGTCACAGCTTGTCACATGGTACAAGGCTGTTGTGAATAGCCTTGTACATGTGACCTCTGTGATCATTCACAGATTTCACACGTAGTAAGCAAATGATGTCAGAAGTGACATCTTGCTTACACCTATTCATGTGATCACTGATTGGCCACAGAGGTCCTGTACAACGATCGGTGTTCCGCTGTGTCCGGCACCGGATCATGGTGCCGCACGCCCCCAGGGAGCGCGCACAATCCAAAATGGCGGGCGCCGTTTATGAACGGAAACCCGCCCCTGCACTGCCACCGTCCGGCTATTTATATACAGTGGCCGGAGGGGAAGTGGTTAAAGTCAAATTTAAAGCTGAAATCCAGGTATGGATATTTTTTTCACATAAGTACATTGTTCCAGACTGAACCAATGTAACTATGTATACACCATACCTGTGGGATCCCTCTAGAAGCTGGAAATCATTCTAGTAGACAGCGCTACTACAGTGATCTCCACTAGCTTCCGGTTCCTGTACCTAGAGGCTGTCCTGCTGCACTGCAAACACAATGGATGGGCCACTCAGCATGGACGCCATTTGGGGTATGCTTTGCATTTTCTCAATGAATGCAAAGCATTCTCTGATTGGACGAGCTGGGGTGGTGATGTCACGCTCTCCACCTCATCCAATTAGAAAAAGCTTTGCGTTCATTGAGGGCAGCCACTTGGCATGGAACCCAGAAGCAAGTGGAGATACAGTAACTGTGGTGGCGGTGTAGTAGTGGAAAACTCTGGTCATTTCAATAAAATGGCTTGTAGTTTGTTTTGGTTGATTTTTCAGAACCTTCAGGGCTCATTCATACAATGTCTGCTAGGCAAAAGTCGTGTTCCCCATGAAGGCAGAAACTACCGCTTTACAACACCACTGTGTGAATGAGACTTAAAGTGGAACTAAAGAATTAATACTTACCTGTCCAATGGTCCCTCACCACCATCTTCTTCTGAGTGCTGGTTGTTGGGCCTCTTCTTTGGCTGGCATGGGATGACGATACTCCTGTGCATGCAATCACTGTCCAATTTTTGAAAGCTTCACCTCCGTAACGATATACAAAAATTGCCCCCTCTTAGCCAATGACATCTCTAATTCAATCCCTTGTTATCTCTCGTCTCAACAACTGCAACTCCCTCTTTGTTGGCCAACCTCCCCCCAGGATATCCTCCCTTCAGTCCATCATAAATGCTGCTACCAAACTCATCCACCTTACCAACCATTCACTGTCCAATGCCCCTCCCTGCCAATCCCTCCATTCACCCAACAATTAAAATTCCTGAATACTAAGTACAATTCACAAAGCCATCCACAACTCTAACCCCCCACTACATAACCCAAACCAGCTTCTACACTCCTCCCAAGAGCTTCTACTGCCTTGTCACCTCCTCCCATGCTCACCTCCAGGACTTCTCTAGAGGCTCCCTCATGCTCTGGAACTCCGTACCTCAGTCTGTCTAGCTATCTCCAGCTCTGTCCACCTTTAGGAGGTCCCAGAAAACCCATCCCTTCAGGTAAGCCTACCTAGCCTCAACTCAACAATGGAACTTTTACCTTCTCCACCAACCATCCTTTTTGCTCTTTCCAAGACCTCATGTTCTCTAGCTACCACGTCATCTCCTTCCATGCTCACCTCTTGGACTTCAATATGAACCTCTCCCAGCCCTTGGAAATCCCAACCCCAATCTATCTGGCTATCTCCTACTCCTAACGCCTACTCTCTCCAACTCATCTCCTCAGGGAAGCCCACCTCTTCTCAGCAACTGAACCTTTACTTTCTCCATCAACCATCGTTTTTGCTTCTCCTTAGACCTCCTGCTTTCTAGCTCCCTCATCACGTCTTTCCATGCTCACCTTCAAAACTTCCTTAGAGCCTTTGCCATTCTATGGATATCCCAACCAATCTGTCTGGCTATCTCCAACACTGTCCACCCTGAAAACTCGTCTCTTCAAGTAAGCCTATCTGACCTCAACCCAACAACGAAACTTTTACTTTCTCTGTCATCCATCCTCTTTGCTCCTTCCAAGACCTCCAGCTCTCTAGCTACTATGTCACCTCCTCCCATTCTCACCTCCAGAACTTTGCTAGAGCTGCTCCCATTCTCTGGACTCCGTATCCCAATCTGTCTGGCTATCTGCAACTCTGTCCACATTTAGGAGATCCCTGAAAACTCATCTCTTCAAGTAAGCCTATCTGACCTCAACCCAACAACTGAACATTTACTTTCTCTCTTTGCTCCTTGCAAGACCTTCTGCTCTCTAGCTTCATCACCTTTCCCATGCTTACCTCTAGAACTTCCCTAGACCCTCTCCCAATTGTCTGGACTCTTCACCCCAATCTGTCTGGCTATCGCCTACTCTATCCAACGAAGCGTATCCCACCTCTACACAATTGGACTTTTATTTTATCGATCAAGTCATACCTCACCGTTATATTTTAGTACCACTTCCACCTCCCTTTTAGACTGTAAGCTCTCATAAGCAGATCTCTCCTAATCCTCTTGTCTTGAATTGTACTGTCTTTCTTTAAATTATAAGGTGCTGGACAAACTGTTGTTGCTAAATAAATCCTGTATAATAATATTAACAACAGAGGTAAACTCACCAACCAAAAGGGACCAAGAGCGGATGCTGGGGTTTCTCTTGAGATGTAACCGGGACCCTGTATGGCTCTCCACCTGCATATACATGGCTGCCTTATTCCTGGAAGACAAAGAGAAGGAATGACACCAGACCCCAGCACCCCATATGGAGTGGCAGCCTTATCTGCAAAGGTTTTTATCTCCAGCACTCAATTTAGAGTGTTGTGTAATGGCCACATCCGGCTTTCTGGTAATCCAGTGACTGGCTGAGAGAGGAGGAAGGGTGACTGGGAAGAGGAACCAGAAGGGAAGAAGGAAGTTTCATTGTAGTAGAAGTTCTGCTGTGAACCAGCATGGCAGTTGACCGAGAGCTCTGCAGCTGAAGCCATACTTAGAAAAAAGGCAGCCAATCAATTCACAGGGAAGCAGTGACATCACTGAAGCACACGCAAGTCTTTGTGTTATCATTGGTAGGTAGAAAATTCATGGGAGACCTAGAAATAACTTCCAGTATGTTGTTAGACTGCTATCTTCTACCAATATTCGTTCATCTGACAAGATGGCTGCCTTAGTAATGTCATCAGTTCCTTATTAAAGTATAAATATTATTATTAGTATACAGGACTTATATAGTACCAACAGTTTGCACAGCACTGTACAATAAAAAAGGGAGACAGTACAGCTACAATACATACAAAATAAGAGGAATAAAAGGGCTCTATTCATAGGAGCTTACAATCTACTAGGCTATATTTAAAAAAAAAAAAAAAAAATAATATATATATATATATATATATATATATATATACACAGTGGGGATCGAAAGTTTGGGCACCCCAGCTAAAAATGTGTATTTATGTGCATAAAGAAGCCAAGGAAAAATGGAAAAATCTCCAAAAGGCATCAAATTACAGATTAGACATTCTTATAATATGTCAACAAAAGTTAGATTTTATTTCCATCATTTACACTTTCAAAATAACAGAAAACAAAAAAATGGCGTCTGCAAAAGTTTGGGCACCCTGCAGAATTTATAGCATGCACTGCCCCCTTTGCCAAGCTGAGACCTGCCAGTGTCATGGATTGTTCTCAATCATCATCTGGGAAGACCAAGTGATGTCAATCTCAAAGGTTTTAAATGCCCAGACTCATCTGACCTTGCCCCAACAATCAGCACCATGGGTTCTTCTAAGCAGTTGTCTAGAAAACTGAAACTGAAAATAGTTGACGCTCACAAAGCTGGAGAAGGCTATAAGAAGATAGCAAAGCGTTTTCAGATGTCAATATCCTCTGTTCGGAATGTAATTAAGAAATGGCAGTCATCAGGAACAGTGGAAGTAAAAGCAAGTTCTGGAAGACGAAGAAAAATATCAGACAGAACAGCTCGCAGGATTGTGAGAAAAACAATTCAAAACCCACGTTTGACTGCACAATCCCTCCAGAAAGATCTGGCAGACACTGAAGTTGTGGTACACTATTCCACTATAAAGAGATACTTGTACAAATATGGTCTTCATGGAAGAGTCATCAGAAGAAAACCTCTTCTATGTCCTCACCACAAAAATCATCGTTTGAACTTTGCAAATGAACATATAGACAAGCGCTGATGCATTTTGGAAACAAGTTCTGTCGACCGATGAGGTTAAAATGGAACTTTTTGGCCGGAATGAGCAAAGGTACGTTTGGAGAAGAAGGGGCACAGAATTTAATGAAAAGAACCTCTGTCCAACTGTTAAGCATGGGGTTGGATCAATCATGCTTTGGGGTTGTGTTGCAGCCAGTGGCACAGGGAACATCTCACGAGTAGAAGGAAAAATGGATTCAATAAAATTTCAGCAAATTTTGGATGGTAACTTGATGCCATCTGTGAAAAAGCTGAAGTTAAAGAGAGGATGGCTTCTACAAATGGATAATGATCCTAAACACACCTCGAAATCCATGGGGGATTACATCAAGAGGTGTAAACTGAAGGTTTTGCCATGGCCTTCACAATCTCCTGACCTCAACATCATTGAAAATCTATGGATAGACCTTAAAAGAGCCGTGCGTGACAGACAGCCCAGAAATCTCAAAGAACTGGAAGACTTTTGTAAGGAAGAATGGGCAAAGATACCTCAAACAAGAATTGAAAGAGAGTTTGTTGGTTTGAGAACTCTTGGCTGGCTACAAAAAGCGTTTACAAGCTGTGATAGTTGCCAAAGGGGGCAGTGCATGCTATAAATTCTGCAGGGTGCCCAAACTTTTGCAGACACCATTTTTTTGTTTTCTGTTATTTTGAAAGTGTAAATGATGGAAATAAAATCTAACTTTTGTTGACATATTATAAGAATGTCTAATCTGTAATTTGATGCCTTTTGGAGATTTTTCCATCTTTCCTTGGCTTCTTTATGCACATTAATACAAATTTTTAGCTGGGGTGCCCAAATTTTCGATCCCCACTGTGTATATATATATATATATATATATATATATATATATTATAGTAGATTATATTTAGTTAGTTAAAGTACTATTAATAACATTTGACATTTTTATATAAAAATACTTATTTTCTTCTGCTTATCATCATTTGTTGCTTTTTGGTGTTGCTGATCTCCCACACCCTCTTTGCAGCAACTTCCTGTCTGCATGCATAATGTGTGTTAAAACAGCCATGCGCAAGATCTATTGGAACCCATGGTGACACAACTGGGTGGCAAGGACAGTGAGTTGTCACCCTATAACAGGGAGTTCCTGAACAGGTTTTTAACCTACACTATATTGCCAGAAGTATTGGGCCCGCCCTCCAAATCATTGGATTCAGGTGTTCCAATCCCCTCCACAGCCACAGGTGTATAAAATCATCACCTAGGCACAGGGGCGGACTGACAACTCATGGGGCCCCCGAGCTGGAATTACACAATGCAGAGCTCAGTGAGGAGAGCTCTGAGAGCTGATTGAAGGAAAAGACCCCCCCCCCCCCCCTTCACACAACACACAGGAACAGAGCTGAGGCTGTTAATCTGCTGAAGCTCCCTCCCCTGCAGGGGCGGACTGACAACTCATGGGGCCCCCGGGCAATAGGGGATCATGGGGCCCCTGTGTCTTTGCCCAAACTCAAAAAAGCCTATGAAAAAGGTACCAGGGGCATCTCATGGGGCCCCTTACTGACCACGGACCCTCGGGCAGTGCCTGAGTTTAGGCACAGTGGTGTATTTAGGTTTTGTGCTGCCCTAGGCAACACAAAAATCATCTGCCCCCACGGACACCGACCAACACAACCCCCACTTCCCCCTCCAGCAGAGAGAGCCTGACATTGCTGACATTGCCCAACAACACCCCTGCCCCCCACCTGGGAGAGCCTTCCACTACCCCCCCGACGATAGAGAAAAAGACACTCATCTTCAAAAAGACACAATCTTCATTTGAATGGACTCCCGTGCCCCTGACATGCAGGGAAAAAGTCCCTGCACTTCTTCGGAAAACGCAGCCGAGGTTCCCAGTATGGTTGCGATTTTCAGTGCAGGCGGCATGCCGTTAGAACTATAGGCACCCACCCGCGGTTCACAATTCTCTGTGCGGGTGGTGCGGCTGCATGGATTTTCGTGCGGATCCGCAGTGGCACCACCGACACAGATGTGAACCAAGTCTTATGCAGGCCATAGAGGGGTTGAAAAAACTGGCCGTTTTTAAAAAATAAAACGAAAAATCAGTCGATCGGCCGACGTTACCACCAACGGTAAAAAAAAAAGCAGATTTTCGTCTCGTCTACGGCCGGCATTTAATTACTTCTGTCGCTGCAGAGAGCTCCACTATTATATTTGACATGAAAAAGTATTGCGGTTGCAACAATGTATCCATTTGTATCCATTTTGGATACAAATGTTTTCATTCGGATACAAATGGATACATTGTTGCAACCGCAAGACTTTTTCATATCAAATATAATAGCAGACTGGAATTCTTCTTCTTCTTTTTCTTGCAGGCCACGGCTCATGCGCAGATTTTTTATCGGTAAAAAGATCAGCTGATTTGCCCATCATTGCTGGGAAAATCGGACGATTTTTTTTCCAACTTTACCCCGAAAAAACGGCCGTCCAATTAACCCATTAACAGTGCGAAAATTGGCCAATTTTTTTTTTGCCCGAAAAATCAGCCGATTTTCGACCCGTCTATGGCTGCATTAGGCTCACCAATCTGACAATCTGATTGTACAATTTTCTTTATTTTATTTATTTCAGGTACTTATATAGTGCCATCAACATACGCAGCACTTTACACATATATTGTACATTCACATCAGTCCCTCACCCTAGGTTCACATCTGTGCGGGTGGTGCCTCTGTGGAACCGCATGAAAATCCGTGCAGCTGCACCACCTGCACAGAGAATTGCGGACCCGTGGGCAGGTGCCAGTAGTTCTAATGGCACGCCGCCCACACTGGGAAACGCAACCGTACAGGGAACCTCGGCTGCGTTTTCCAAAGAAGTGCAGGGACTTCTTTCCCTGCGTGTCACGGTGCACGGGAGTCCATTCAAATGAATGGGCTCTCGTGCCCGTGCAAAATGCGGCCCGCACGGCCGCATATATGTGAATCGAGGGTCAAAGGGTATACTAACTAAGGTAGATCTACCAATAACTATGTAGTGCCTGTTTAGATATAAATTGATTGCATCGATTAGATTGGCCCTCATATTAAAAGGATGATCGTGAAGAATTTGAACAGTCAGATTGTAACATGTACAGTGAGCCTTAAGCTGGCCATACGCTATACAATCTGATTGTACAAGCAGTTTTAGATTTACAAAAAATACATGATATGAGAACAAACCTGATCAATCCATTCAAAGTGTATCGATTCAAGCAGATGCCAATACTACATGGTTGGGAGATTGTACAATCAGATTGTATAGTGTATGGTCACCTTTAGGGCTGTCACCGCAAAGGTATAGATGTTCTCAACCTATATATATATACACACACACTTTCATCTAATCCAAAATGATTGGCTAGATGCTATGGCTACATGTGTAACCAGACAGTCTCAGGGCCCCCCTGTGCTCCTAGGGCCCCATATGTGATCACCACTATGCGGGGGTCACTGTAGTTCTGTGGATGGGGTCACCCGTGTCGTATAGATCTGGCATTCCACAAAATCACCAGCAAATAAAAGGGGTTGTAATCGACTGCACTCCCAACTCCCCTTTCCAAAAAAGTCCTGGATGCCTAGAAATCGAGAGCCAAGAATTGAGAGATCAACTGCAACCGAAATCATGACCACAGTGTGTGAGAACGCAGGGAGGACCCCAGCCAGCCAGATGTGCCGGGGGCTGCAGCAAACAAAAAGAGAGATCTGTTCATTCCTCCCCCTACCCTCCCTGGGTCAGTGCAGAGCTGGGTGCAGAATATCAGGGGCCCCTAGGGCCCCAGTGCTCACACAGCTCCCTACTGCCTGAAGGCGCTCACACACAGATCTCCAGCACTCACCTGCCTGCCTGTACCTCCAGCAACTTCCCCAGCCACACACTGCACAGCCAGAGGCATGCTGGGAGATTGGAGGAAACACCCTGGCTTCACCCTACTACTCCCCTGCACTACCTGCATCCCACACTAGGTGGCGCTGCCTGCATTCTCTGTCATGATAACAAATGTAACAATTTCATTGAAAAGTGCAAATGAGAAACATTGTAACCGGCCAATGAGAAGTCAGCTAAGAGGGACACAGACAGCAATAAAAACCTGACAGAGAGTCCAAACCTTTCCTGCTCCATTCAAAGCTAGTGAAAGAGTTTTTTGCTGGAGTTATATTTTTAGGGTTCATTCACACCAGGCGTGATAGGACGGTACTGGGCAGCCGTTCCAGCACCAGACAAGGCAAAATGGCACCAGGCCAATCATACCACAGCAGAGCGACACAATCCAGATTGTAAGCTTGAAAGAGCAGGGCCCTTGATCCCCTCATGTTTTGCATTGTATTGGTATTGTTCTGTCACATGTTCTGTCCCCCTCTGTAATGTACAGCGCTGAGCGAACTATTGGCGCTTTATAAATACTGTATAAAATAATAATAATAATAATCCACTCTCCCACCACATGCGGCCAATAGAACACTTTAATAAAATTCTTGAGACGATGTGCGGCGCACACCACTGTCATCCTACAGCACGCTGGTGGCTGCAATCTGACGCAGCAGTGGGTGTGAATGGGCCCTTAGGCTTTATACACATGGTTGCACAGTGTGCAGAGCCCGCATAAGCAGGGGTGTATTTACCACAAGGCAAACAAGGCATTTGCCTAGGGCGGCATTTTTTAGGGGGGCAGCACTGCTTGATGGTGTATGCAGAGCCCGATTGTCATTCCAGGGGATGTCCAGAGCTGTGAAGGTGAGTGTCTTTCTGGTGGTGTTAGTGGAAGACTCTCTAGGGTGAGGGGGGATGGGCAGGAGCGGACTGACAACTCATGGGCCCCCCAAGCAATAGGGGATCATGGGGCCCCTGTGTCCTTGCCCAAACTCAAAAAAGCCTATGAAAATGGTACCAGGGGCATCTCATGGGGCCCCCTACTGACCCCGGGACCTTGGGCAGTGCCCGAGTTTCCAAATGGTCAGTCCGCCCCTGGGCAGGGGTATTGTTGGTCACTGTCAGGCTCTCTCCTCGGTGAAGGGTGGGTATGGCTGGTGTCGGTCACTGTCAGCTCTCTCCTCGGTGAAGGGTGGGTATGGCTGGTGTCGGTCATTGTCAGACTCTCTCCTCGGGTGAAGGGTGGGTATGGCTGGTGTCGGTCACTGTCAGACTCTCTCTGCCTAGGGCAGCACAAAACCTAAATACACCACTGTGCATAAGCATGCTCAGATATTCAGGGCGTACATCCATGCAGATGTGGGTGCGTTACACAGCCCCCCCGTGCATACCTGCAACCTCTAGTTCATCTCAGTGGGCAACTATGCTTGGCAGCTGCAGGCCCCAGGAGAAGACAGGCTCTGCATGCTGACGTCATAAAGTCCAATGTAGAACTCAGAGCCCTGCATTGAATGCAAAGATGTGGGGGGGGGTGGCAGTCAAATGCTGCAGTGTGGGGAGGTAGGGGGAAAGTAGACTGGAGTGGAGGGGACAGGAGTAGAGTAGAGTGGAGTGGGGGGCAGGGGGGTGTAGAGTGGAGTGGAGGGGAGTAGGGGAAGGGGGGAGAAGAGTGAGGGGGAGTAGAGTGGAGAGGAGTGGGGGGGGAGGGGAGTAGAGATGAGCAGGGGGAGTGGAGGGAAATAGGGGAAGGGGGGGGAGAAGAGTTGGGGGGGGGGGAGAAGAGTGGAGGGGAGTGGGAGGAGTACAGTAGAGTGGAGGGGAGTAGAGTGGAGTGCAGGGGAGTGGGGGTGGAGGGGAGTGGCAGAAGGGGGAGTAGAGTGGGGGGGGGTAGAGTGTAGGAGAGGGGAGTGGGGGGGGGAGGTAGAGGTAGAGTGGAGAGGGAGTAGAGTGGAGTGGAGGGGAGTAGATCAGAGTGGGGGGGAGTAGAGTGGAGGGGGGGGAGAAGAGTGGGGGGGGGGGGAGAGTAGAGTGGAGTGCAGGGGAGTAGATCAGAGTGGAGGGGAGTGGGGTGGAGGGAATGGGGAGGCAAAAGTGTGTGGAGTGGAGGGGGAGTGGCAGAAGGGGGAGTAGAGTGGGGGGGGGTAGAGTGTAGGGGAGTGGGTGCAGGGGAGTAGAGTGGAGAGGGAGTAGAGTGGAGGGGGGTAGATCGGAGTGGGGGGGAGTAGAGTGGAGGGGGGGTAGATCGGAGGGGGAGGGGGGGGGAGTAGAGTGGAGGGGGGTAGTGGGGGGGGTAGATGGGAGGGGGGGGGGGGAGTAGAGTGGGTGGGGAGTAGGGGAAGGGGGAGAAGAGTGGGGGGGGGAGGGGGGGGGGGGGGGAGGGGAGTGGGAGGAGTAGGGGAGTGGGAGGAGTAGAGTAAAGGAGGGGAGTAGGGGAAGGGGGAGAGTGGGAGGGGAGGGAGGGGAGTGGGGGGAGTACAGTAGAGTAGAGGAAAGTGAAGGGGGAGAAGAGTGGGAGGGGAGTGAGAGGAGTAGAGTAGAGGGGAGTAGAGTTGAGAGAGTAGAGTGCAGGGGAGTAGATCAGAGTGGAGTAGAGTGGGGGAGGGGGAGGGAAGGGGGGAGTAGTGAGTGGGGGGAGTGGCAGAAGGGGGGAGTAGAGGGGGGGAGATGGAGGGGGAGGGGAGTGGAGTGGAGTAGATCGGAGTGGGCGGAGTAGAGTGGAGGGGTGGAGGGGGGGGGGATTAGGGGAAGGGGGGGGAAGAGTGGGGGGGGGGGAAGGGGGAGGGGAGGGGGGAGTGGGAGGAGTAGAGGGGAGGGGAGTAGGAGGAGTACAGTAGAGTGGAGGAAAGTGGGAGGGGAGTAGATCAGAGTGGAGGTGGGGGGAAGGGGGGTAGTGTGTGGAATGGAGGGGAGTGGCAGAAGGGGGGGGGTAGAGTGTAGGGTAGGGGAGTGGGGGGAGGTGGGGGGGGGGGTGGGGGGGGAGGGGGGAGGGTGGGCAGTGGCGTGGATTGGAGGGGCGTAGAGAGGCGGTGGGGGGGGGGGAGGGAAGGAGAGTAGAGCGCTTGATCAGGTAGTAGAAGTGTTTCCCTCTCCTAGACATTGATGGGTATTTACCATTAGTACTGCAGCCGAGTATTTTGCCTCTCACTGTCAATGGGTTTTCAACAACAAAAGGGTATTTGCATCTGATTGGTCGGTGTATTCTGGAGTTTCAGCGATAACAATTATCGGATAACTGAAGGTAGAGCTCCAGGCAAATCTTTCTTGGTTTTGGATGAAGCAGGGAAGGGCTCTAACCCTGGCAGTTGCTGTTTTCCTCTCACAGTCACATTGGGGAGATTTCTCTTCACTTCCCATCTTATAGCCACAACAGGAAAGTGAAGGAATCCTAGGTTGTCCCCAGATCTAGTGTCCCCATTGGTAGATTTCCCTTCTATTCTGTTCTGGGTAACAACCCACAATTTGGGCTTTCCTTTCATTCTGTGATAACATTCACCAGGAGGAGGGGGGGGACTTCTCAGCATAGATGGTGAATCTCCCTAAGGGGGGCACAGCTAGGAATAGGAATCCCCCCTGTAGATACACATCCAGTTATTCCAGATACAAGGTACAACTTACATCCCCTCTTCAGATTGTATACATTGTTCTACTGAATATTTACTGGTTTAAAATTGCTCAGAGCCCCCCCCCCCCCCCCCAACTCACACATTGCAGGGCAGCCTGTCACATGACCCTGTATGCCATACCAGTAGTAATGTTTTTCCACCACTAGAGGCCCCCCTCCTCTGCAGACATCATTGGGCCTCCCTCCCCCATTCACACACAGGACTGGTCTTCATAAACATGTCTGCCCTCATTTCCAGCCCTGCAGACACCTCCCTCTTCCCTCTGCCATCAGCTTCAGAAGGGAGGAAGTTCTGGGGAGGGGGTGGAAAGCAGGCTGCCTGTAGGCTGATGCTGATTGGCTGGAGGGCTGTCAATCAGGAGTCATGAGTGGAGGGGGCAGGAGATGGTGTAACAAAGGGCAGGGTGACAGCAGAGGGGCAGGCTGAGCTCAGGATCTGAAGGCTGACAGACATGAAGTGTGAGAACTGCACCAAAACGGTGAGAATTCCCCCCTAGAAAAAGGGGGATCAGGGGGACCCCATCTCTACCTAGGGGGGGGGGGGCTGATCTGCTCCTCTGAGCCCCCAATGGACTGATTCCCCCCCCCCCCCATGGACTGATCCCCATCTTCCTGCATTGGGTGATGATGAGATCTGTGTTGTTACAAATGTTTCCTTTTTATGTTACATTGTTTCCTTTTATCTCCTAAATGTTTCTTTGTTTATAAATAGAAGGTTGTGGGCTTCCTGTCTGATGCACAGGACTCTCTGTACATGGCCCTGAGGGGGGCTCACAACTGTCATGTGTGTCTGGGGATTGTTACAGATGGATGGCCATACATTATACAACCTGATTGTACAATCTGCAGATCTACTATCCACCATGTACTATAAGGGGCTGTGTGGTGTCATGGAAGTGGATTGGATTAGATAGGTTCGTCCTCCTCCATATAGGGCAGTTTTAGTAGATTAAAATGAGGTTTTACAGGGATTGTACAACCAGATTGTGACATGTATGGCCATTCTAAAACACCGTGCACACGATGAGAATATCTGGATATAACATTTATAGGTAAAGTTGATCCAGGGAATATCCGATTGCCTCTCGGGGGATCAGGAAGGAATCTTTCCCTGCAGGAGCAAATTAGATCATGCTTTTTTTTTTTTGCCTTCCTCTGGATCAACTGTGGGTGTAGGATTGTAAGGGGGGTTGTTTTTTTTTTGTTTTTTTTTTTTTTTTTTGTTGTTGTACTGGATGGACAGTTGTTGTTGTTTTTTCAGCCATACTAACTATGTAAATATGTTCCAATGTAACTATATGGGACGAATGATTGTCTGTGTGTTTTTATTTGTTTATTGGGAGTTGTTTTGTTTTTCGTTTTTGTTCTCTTGTTGTACTGGATGGACAGTTGTTGTTTTTTTTTTTTTCAACCAGACTAACTATGTAAAATATGTTCCAATATACCTATATCTGATGAATGATTGTCTGTGTGTTTTGTTTTTTTTTGTTTTTTTTTTTTTTTTTTTTTTGTTTGTTTTGGGGGGGGGGTTTTTTTGTTTTTTGTTTTGTTTTCTTGTTGTACTGGATGGACACTTGTTGTTTTTTCAGCCATACTGTAAGTATGTTCCAATGTAATTATATCCCAGGAATGATTATCTGTGTGTTTTTTGTTTGTTTTAGTTTTTTGGGGGGGTTTTTGTGTTTTGTTGTACTGGATGGACAGTTGTTGTTTTTTCAGCCAGACTATGTAAGTATGTTCCAATGTAACTGCATGGGATGAATGATTGTCTGTGTGTTTTTTTTTTTTTTTTTTGGGGGGGGGGGGGTTGTTTGTTGTGTTTTGTGTTTTTTTTTGTTTTTTTTTTTGTTTTTTTTTTCTTGTTTTACTGGTTGTTGTTGTTGTTCTTGTTGCACTGGATGGACAGTTGTTTTTTCAGCCAGACTATGTAAGTGTAGTGTGTGTATGTGTATTCTCGAAAACAAATAGGTTACAAAAATTCTCATCCCACAGAATAACAATTGGGAAGTGATGTCACGTATTTGTATTGTATTTTTGGATGAAACTGTCCTGATCTTAGATGAAAATCCTACAATCCGGTATCATACAGGAAACATTTTCCGTGCTTGACCCTTTTGAATAATTTCCTTCCAGTAAGTTAATGGGTTGCAGGAACAGGACATGTTGAACTATCGCTCATGCGGTTACTTAGAGTTGTCATACATGTTACAATCAGATCGGCCTTTTGGCTAAGATCAAGTGTAGTATCTGTTCTTATCAGTGTCCAGTGGGGGTGCTACCGACCATTCTAGTTTACGGGGATGGTTGTTGTATAGTACCCTCACTGGTATGATGGGGGTCCGGAAGGCTAGTACCGGAGGGACAGAAACCAGGGAGCGCCATGATTCGTTCTGGGGCCTTGGGAGTAATTCCTCTGGGGAGACCGGAAAGACCCAGTTCCTCCTGGTTTGAGCATGCTACCTTGGTCTGGCCTGGGGTCGGGGACGCAAAAAGTCCGCAAACTCAGTGCCCCCTGGGGAAGACGCTCTCAGGGGTGTCACTAGTAACACTTGGGTGTGGGACCCCACGGTGTGAAGATGACACATGGCCACTGTTTTTTCACCTCTTTTTGCACAGCGCCCTAAGGACCAGGTCTTTTGGCTAAGTCCAGGGCAATTTTTGCTATAGGCCTCAGGGCCTGGTCTGTGCAATATTAGGCACGGTACCACTTTTTTTATTTTATTCTATTTATTTAAACCACTCCCACGTTTTGTCACTTTTTGCTTTCTTATGTGTGTGTTTTTCACGGATGGAGGGTGTGGGTCCTCGGGCCTTACCTGAAGTCTAGGGGGAGGATGTGTGGCCATACGGTTCCTTCCTCCCCTGATCCCTAGGGGGTTTTCTCTTCGGGAGAACCCCCTTGCCTAGTACTGGATGTCCGGCTTCGGCTGGGCATAAGGAACGGTGGTCCACCAGGCCTTTTGGCCAGGAGGACCAAATGGGAACCTTGTCCCTGTCAGGAGCTTCGTGCCCCGGGGGATCGGGGGTGAACGGTCCAACCCTTTCGGGGGTAGGACAAACACACCCCTAAGTGCACGTTTTTCGTGTGTGTGTTTCTGCACTTGCACTTTTTTGCGGACACTTACGGGTTTTTTACGTTATAGTTCCACGTTTGCGGACTTAAAAAAAAAAAAAAAAAAAAAAAAAATTGTTGGTAGTTTAACAAAAAAAAACGTTCTATAAGGACCTACCTAATCTAAGCGATCAATTTGTATCCAATCAGGCAGGGCCATGCATTACATAGTGGTTGTTCCAGCAAAATGAGTTTGTACAATCAGATTGGAACGTGATTTGTGGTGAAGCTTTAGGGTCATCTGGATTTTTATGGTCTGCAGATAAAGTTTACAGTGTGTGTTTGTGATCTTTGCTGCTGGTTTCCTTGTATAGAACGCTGCAGTAGGTTGGATGTTCAGCCATTTTTTGTGTGTGTTTTGGTTTATTATTACCCGGTTTTTGGCTGGCCATACACTATAAAATCAGATTGTACAATCTTCTTGAGATCTTCCAAAACTTTGACTAATCTAAACAATTTATTCAGTTGCTATCCAATCAGGCAGGCCATTGCTCTAGGAAGTTGATGGTAGATCTAAGGCTTGGTTCATAATGTGCTTTTGCATTTTTCCAGCATTTTGCAGGCCCTTTTTTTTTTTTTTTTTGTTTTGTTTAGATTTAGTTTTGGTGTGGTGTTTTTTTTTTTTTTTGTTTTTGTTTTTTTTTTTTTTTGTTTATTTGTTTAGTGGAATTTTTTTTTTTTGTTTTTTTTGGGCTGGGCAGGAAGAAAACATGACAACAACACACTATATGTGTTTTTAGCAGTTTCTCCGTTGAACTTTTGTCTGTAACAAAACGCTGCTTTTTGCGTTTTTCAAAAAAGTCGCTGATCCTTTCCAAAAATGCAGCAGCAGCTCAAAAAGCATAGATGTGAACGTGCTCCATAGGAAACAATGCTAAATGGACTGTAGTGTGTTTCTACAAAAGGCAATTAAAAACCAGAGGTCATAAAGATTGTACAATCAGCTTGTATAGTGTATGGTCAGCTGTAGTGTTTGTATGTATATTGTGGTGTGTGTGTTTTGTTTTTTTTTTTTTTTTTTTGTTTTTTTTTTAAATACTCTGCCATGCTAGAACAGTTGCTGGTCATTTTTACATATTTTTTTTCCCCCTAAATTATTTAAGGAAACGTTTGTTTTGTTTTTTGTTTGTTTTTGTGTTTTGTTTTTTTTGTTTGTTTGTTTTTTTTCCCTAAATTATTAATGGAAACTAAAGCTGGCTATAGACGGGATGGATTTTGATCCAATGGGTTGCCCTGTTGGCCACCTCCCGCTTGACATCAAAGGAATGGAAGATTGCCAGCCAAATAGTACTTTCATCCAATCAGATGCAGCTGCTGCTCGGGTATTCTGACACTTGCTGGTGCCGGCTGGGGAGGGATTCGTCCATCCACACGGTCTAGCGATAGATCGCTCTCAAGTTCCGCCCCATGCTGGTCTATGGCCGGCTTAAAGCAAATCTAAACGCAGGAACAAAAATTGATAGTACTGCATCTTACTGGTCTGGAGATGTGGTGGCTGCATTCGTTTTCATTTTTTTTTTTCTCCCCTTTTAATCTAACCTGGTGATCCTTCCATGAACTCCCTTCCTCTATAAAGCCTGGTTCACACCTATGCAAGTTGCGATTGATGCATTTGGTGTGTTTTGCTGTGTGTTTTGCATTTTTTAACTGGTTTTTTTTTTTTTTTTGTTTGTTTGCTTTTTTTTTTTTTTTGCCAATAGCAAAGTATTGAGTGCCACTCTGATGCGACTTTACACTCTCTGGCACTCAGTCACATCAAAGTAGTACAGGAACCATAGCAAAGTCTTTGCAAAAAATTCTCATCACAGTCACACTCAATACTTCATTGGCAACCCCCCCCCCCCCACCAGTGGTGTCCCTAGGGGGGTGCGGGCCGCACCGGGTGACACCATCACAGGGGGTGCAGGAGCAGGATGCCAGCACAGTGACAGCTGACCCCACCCTGGTGTAGCGGTAATATGAATATCCCATGAAGACATGTATCCTCTGAAGCAATTGCGCATGTGCCAGTTTCAGGCCTAAGAAGCCGACCGCTGGTTCTGGGCTAAATTCGGAGATCGGCTTCTTGGGCCTGAAACCGGCACATGCGCAATTGCTTCAGGGGATACATATCTTCATAGGATATTCATATTACCGCTACACCGCCACCGCTCCTTCTTCTATGGAGGGGTGACACCACGTGTTATGGCACCGGGTGACACCAAGCCTAGGGACGCCTCTGCCCCCCACACAAAACGTATCATAAAAGCATCTAAAGCACAACATTTGCGTTTTTGGTGCGATTCCGTTGAAGTCTATTGCACCAAAAACACAACCTGCCGCAGGGGGAACAAAAAAGAAAATGCGCAGATGTGAATGTGTCCATAG